CCTAATTTACGAAATTGTACAGGAATTTTTATAGGATTTTTATACCGGAAACCTGCTGAAAAAAAGGTGTCTATAGTTTGAATATGGCGGGCTTTGAAGCAATTTGAAGAATCCTCCAAGAATCCAGCAAGACACGTCCAACATTAGCTCGAGGTTTGAAATTAGGGATTTGATTTTGTTGACTCCTTGAGGCATTCAGCAGAGTAACTCTGACATTTGCAGATCTTGAGTTAACGGAAACCGGATTGGTTTTTACTGGGGAAAATTGCGCCGTCTTTGAGGAATTACCATCAAGAATGCTGTGTGGACTTTCTTCACCATATACAGAACATCTCAACCAACCCAATTTGCAGGTAAACACACACACCAGCCTTCCATCCTCTTTAAATCACCCCGTGAAGCTCACATTTTCTGTACGTGAGTGCTAAACTACAAAGAGAATCCCTCTAACATGCAAATTCACATTTTCTTCACATTCCACCTTGTTTTTCCTCCAACTTGTCATGAGGATAGGCATTATAAACTCAATTACAAACCCCAGAAAGAGAGAGAGAGACTCCAACTCTCAGCAAGTGAATTTACAGTGAACCAAATTGAAATTAAAGACTTTCCTCTCCACTCTTCTACATAATCACCCAGAGTATTAATTGTGCCACAAACTAAAATACGTGCCACACTCGTCACTTGACTTCACTGCGAGGGTAGTTAATACACAAAACTCCCTTACTTCAGCCACTCTCTCTCTCTCTTATTTAAGGTCAATTGAGGCAGAGAATATAGAGAATTTATTCACATTTCCTCCACTTATACAAACGAAAATCTCCACTGATGGCGAACAAGAGCATTTGCACCTCATTTTCTTATCTTTGCGACTTTCCTTCATTAGGAAATATTGTCAATTGCCAAACTTTTTTCCCTCTTCTGCCATTCTCACAGCTGCAAATGAAGTTTTTTTCCCACAATTTTCTTTCTCTTCAAGAAAGGAAAATTCCACACTTTTTCACCCCCTCATTGTTCACACAAGAAAAGAATTGTATAAAATTGATGAGATAGTGATAGTTTTTTTGCTAATTAATTTGAAAATCAATCAATTTTTTTCCCTTTAATTCAATTTATCACTTTTTTTTTTTTTTTTACTTAACAAGTCCTGGAGTGTCAAACTAATATGTAATCAAACTAATAGCATTTCCTAAAGTCTGCAGTCTTAACAGAAGTGAGAAACTGTGCCAAACTAGTCCATCCTTAATTTCCTCCCAATGGGAAAACACGAGGAAGTGCAGCAGACACATTTCCCGCGACATGGGAAAGACAGTGTGAGAAAAAGTGATGGTATATGACATTAATATTCGCGACGAGATGTCTGTTATTAGTTTTGAAGTCACGTAAAGTGTGAACTAACCCCACATAATGTATATTTTTGTTCACAATCATTTCACAAAGATATAGTTCACTCTCTGAACCTTTACACAGAGTGTGAGAGTTGAACTTTTTCATGTGCTGACAAATTCTGTAATGTGAGAAAGAGAGAGAGAGAGAGAGAAAAAGAGCCCCTCGAGTGCAGGATAATGTATGAAAATGGGATTTACCATGGAGAAGAAGAACTAAAACTGTGTTGTCTCTCGTACATCTTTCCTTCCCAACAAATTACAACGCACTATAGAATCATAATAATAATCATTTGCCCAGAGAAAAGTCCTCCACAGTGAAAGTTATTAAAAAACTTTATTCCAATTAGTATTACTTTAATTTTATGACCCTCTTCTTCTACTCCTTCCTCGTCGAAGAGCACACGACTCATTTGAATAACACAATATGCGAGGAAGGAATCATTTGGCCACCCGGGCGCGAAGCCCTTGTGCTTTAGGGTAGGAAAACTCAACCCCAGCTGGAAGCTTTTATATTAAATTCAACAACCACATCACTCTGTGGGGAAATTATTAATAACAATATCTATAAATTTACTTTTAAAGCACACCATTTTCACCCCTTTGGCCAATCTCATGGCAAATTCCCGCCACTCTGTCGCAACCATACAGAAAAGCATTTTAGATATCTTTGTACAAGAGAAAATGACTCGTATGCGACAGAAGAGACAGCAAAGGGCGATACAGCTATGGCAATTTATCAATACATCAGTTGGGTATGTGAAAATTCTCAACTTTTCCCATAACGCGCACACCCTTCTCCCTCACCCTATTTCTCCAATACTCTCTCTCTATATATATATGTGTATTTATTTAGATCTTGTAACACTTCATAAGGAACTTTCTTTGACGTCAAAATTTATGGCACTTGGTGCTTGAAATTTACACAATGATAGTGTATTTTGCGGAAAACATCCCTCATTTTATCGCAATACTGTTCAATCACTTTCTCCGCAAACACACACACGCTTAGAAGCAGTGACAATATCTTCCTGGATTTTATCACACACAGATGTCTACAAATTTCAAGTTTTGCAATTAAACCATAAGTATATTGCAGTGAAATTTACCCACGAGGCAAAACACGTCTTTTATGCGAAACAAGAAGAAAAAAAAACACACACACCAATTAATTATGGGCAAAAAGAGCATCTCAATACGCGCGAGTGATTGAAAAAGTGAAACTAGATCAAAACTGTGCACGCGGTTTCTTCTTAGTTATTTTTCTTCTTCCATCTCTGTGTGCAATTCATGTGAGGCGAGAGAAAAAAAAACTGAAAGTGATTCAAAATGTTACTGGCAAAGAAATCTCTCGCGCGCGCATACAACATGAAATTAATTTAGCACCATGATGATTAAGTGAAGGAGAATATTCATAATCATGCTGCAGTGGATGAAGAAGAGAGAAAAAAAACCACCCTCATTTCATATTGTGTCTCAGTTGCTGTCCAGGCACAAGAGGGGAGGAAGAAAAAAGGCGTGAAGGGAGTCAAAATTTATTGCTCTTCCGCGTTAATTGTTCAAGTAGCGCAAAATTAATTAAATTTATTCACGTTATCTGACGAAGCACAATTAGATTGTACTTTTTATCCCTGACCACCCACACACCAACACACTCTTCTCACACTCTTCTGCTCGCCCACAAACTGACGTGCACTAATTAACGTTTGAAACTGCGAAGGAACTGAAAAATCCTGCCAAAGGATTTATCCCACTGATATACAATTCGAAGAAGAAACTGCAGATGCACAGAAGCAGCAAAAATGGAATCAAAGGAAACGGATTCTATAGATTTAGGAGTTGTCTAGACGTGAGATTTATTCTTAAGATTACCCATATAATATAGAATTGGGTATATCGCGATATGCGCAAATATCGCAGGAATTCACAGAATTTCCCGCCCTTCCCATAAAGGAGATAAAAGAGCACCAAAAAACACCGTGACTTGGAAATAAAATTTCTCATTTACCCTCTCAAGTTGTGGGAATTCCTTCATAAATCTCATCATTAAATTGTATTTTCCTCTTTTTTCCACCATCCCTTGTCCAAAATTCCTTCATTAAATCCTCAAGTGATTGCACATATTTCTCCACAGGACATGACATGGATCAGATAATCCAAAACACTCGCATTTGCTCCTCTCGAAAATCTCTCCCCAACAAAATCCACCCCCTAAGGCCTTTCAGACTCTGTGTTCTGTGGCTGCCAGAGACTCATCTCCTTTGGCTGTAACTCTAGTGTGCGGTGCAAAATGTCAGAGTGCATTTTAATGTTTTTTTCACCAAAAAGCATTGAAAATTTATACGTGCAAATCTCCATGACATTTTTGTCTATGTGTAACACAATTCTCCAACAATTTCCTCCTCCGAGCAGAGGAAAAAACATAGCGACTCGCAAAACTTTTAGTCACAGTGTATCAAACCCTAAAGCGACAAACTTCAGCATTGCATTTAATTCTGTGAGAGAGGAACTCTAAAACTGTGTCATGGCTCAAATTAAAAAAAAAAATTTAGCATCCAACACTCAATGATTAATCATCTGCTTGGGCTCAAGAGAAAACTTTGTAGCACAATCACTGTGAAAATCAATGGTAATTCTTTGAAAAATTTACTATTTAATGCCATTTGAGTAATAATAACTTTAGTAAAATACACAAAATCATGGTCAGAATTATGATATATACTTCTTTTTCTCAACTTAAACTCAAACACAATTAATTTCTATGATTTATGGCACATTTACTGTCCAAGCTCTATGAAATCCCACCCCTAAAAGACGCTGTGAAGGTAATCGAAATGGCATTTTCAATAATTGCATCGAGAAGTGCAATTAATTCTGCAATATTTCCACCATCGAGAGAGAAAGAGCGAGCAATTGCAGCACAAGAAATTACCTCCCTCAACTCTTATAGCAGTGGCAGAGATTAATTATATAACATTGAAGAAGATAGAAAAAGAAATTTAAGAGTTATAAGATGATAAATTGAAATTTGAAGTTCTCAAGACATTTTTTTTTGTTCCATGAGGAAAAAAAGATGAAAATCTAATTTAAAAATATATAAATCAAAATAAACGAACAAATTTTGTTAATTTAGTAAAATACGATATAGTAAAATTTGTTGGATCTGTTTTTCCCCCAGAAATTCCGCTTTATTTGAGCATTCATTCCAATTTATTCGAATCTTTCCATAAAAATATATTCATAGAAAAATGTTTACATATATATAATGTTTGGATTTTCTTCAATACACACTCGCACAGAAAATCGCATTCATTTCTAGCTCAATGATTCCTCTGGGTTGAACATGCATTCATATTTTCATAAATATGCGGGATAAATAAGAGCGATAATATGGATTCGCTCCAACATATGTTGCATTTCCATTTGTTTTTCCTCTCGCAATTTCCTCCGGACCAATTTTCACTATCACTTGTTGTTTTTCCTCATCTCTCCCACCCACAATTGCTCCATATATATGTACATATTGAAAGCGCGCCGGGGGGAAAATCAAGAGATATGAGGGCAAAAAGTCCGTGTGCGATGGCAGGAAAAAAGGAAAGCACAAAATGGACTTACCACTGTGATAGGATAAAGAGGATTGATGACTGTGAATAGAAGAATGTGATTTGGTCTGGCCAAATCGTGTCTTTTCCTCCTCGGCTCATCTGCTGTATTGTTTCCAATGATAGTCTGGAAATGGACCAAAAAAGAAATGCAACCATTTAGTCACAAAGTTCATTTTACAGCTGTGAATAAAATTGAGATTCATAATATAATTCCCTAACAAGACTTGAGAAAAATAAGATAAAATTGTCAAAGAAACACTAAAAGTCATGATTGTGAAGATGTGATCGGAAATTCTTTATTTTTTTTTTTAATATTTCTCTCAAATTTTAACTGCATTTTCCTCACATGTGTAATCATGCGATATTCATATAGCAAAAACTAAGTCAAAATTGGCAAAATTGCAAGTTACACCAACATGTTGCGATATCTCGATATTCAATCCATCATAATATTCCGAGCACGTTCGTATAAGAACAGGAAAAACCGCGACGTTTTCTAAAGTATGACCATAACACCATTTCTCTCGCACTCCTACAAATGAGAAGAATTGAGCACAAAGAGCGACTCTTTTTTATGATATAATCAAAGAATTATAGTGCAGTTAAATTTTCTCCCTTCAAAAATATCCACATCAGCAAATTTATTGTCTTGAAAAACTTTTCTAATTCGAGAAGAAAAATGTTGAAAAACGATAAAAGGACTCTTGCTTTCTCTCCATCACTTACAACTGCTTCCCTTTTCCCATCATCTCACAAAGAGAGGAAGAGAGATAGAGAGAGAGAGTATTTCATCATTGAATATCCGGTGTTGTAGTATTTTTCCCTCTCATCTTTCCCGGTTGAAATTCCATTGCAAAAACCACCACAGGAAAAGAGAATAATAACGTTTTCGAAGAAATATTCCATCCACCCTCCCGTAGAAACTTTTTGATGAAAACTCAACAATGCGTAAAGATCTTTTGATGGGAATTTTCTCTGTGGGAAATTGACAACGTTTTTTTTTCCCTCTTTCTCTCTTTAGCTTTCCTATCCATACATATATGTAGAGATAATCAACATTCCACAATTGCACACCATCATCGATCATTTTTTCAATGCAAAAATTCTTCGAGTATAAATTTAAATATTACAACTTCCAAAATGTACATATTTATCAAGTGTCAAACAGAATATCTCTTTGAGAACACTTAACATCCACTTTTGCCATCATCGCGGCAATTTAGCACGCCAACTTGACTTCATACACATTTATTTACTCCGCGCCTTAACCGCCAATTCATTTTGTCCATTCTTTTATTTGCTCCTTTTCTCGCCACTTTTGCAATTTGCATGAATTACAGTGTTCATTAAAATGACATTTAATACATTTTACATACACACACACATACATTTCTAATTTTATCACACAATTTATCCCAAATGCAGTTCAGTGAAAGTGGATTTTAAATAAAATCAATCGTATCATAAAGATGCAATATAAACATAGTTCAGATTGCAAATTTATCATCAAATGGTAAAGGAGTGTCTGAGAAATTACTGACTTTATACCATGAGTATTACAAACTTCTTCTTCACATGGAGTGGAAATTTTCACCCTCACGCAATTTTGCACGTGCCAAAATCCAGCAATTGAATTTATTAAGTCTATTTACACTCTAATGATTAGGGAATTTATTCACCCATCACTACATTTTTCACATTCTTTTTTCCGTCCGCTATTACAGTTAACACTCAAGTGTTTGTGAATTAAATGTAGAACGACTAATTAAGCGACACTCGTTTTCTTTTTCTTAATTAAATGCGATGTGTTTGTACAAAATACTTGAGTGACACGAGGAAATTTTACGTAAAACCGCGTACGCTTTGCCGCTTTTCACGCTGTGCGTGGGCGAATATTTCAAGTTATCCACGCACATTTTCTTCACCTACAACTTTTCATCGCTTCACACATAAATGCATTATTAAACATTAGCCGACACTACAGTAATAATAATTGATGGATTTCTTTTTTTCGGATATAATTTTACACCAAATCGGAAGTATTTTCATGTGATTTTCCGCTCGATGAATATTGTATGGAAAAAATGCATCAATATTGCAGTATAAAGTGAAATTTGTTGCTATATATATACAGGAAGTGAACGAAAATTCCAATTCAAACCCAAATGCAATCAATAATTGTGTCTCCAGAGGAGAAAAGCACACCGGATCTTCAATTGTCACGAACATGAGTAATTATTCAATTTCTCACGCCACTAAATATGCCAAGCAATTCTCCTAGACATATCCCAGATACGCACGCATTTACTCATATATAATTTACAAGTGGCGCCGGAAGGACAAGTGACATATGAGATTTAAAGACATCCATCTCTAATCCATGTCATTTGCACCCCAAACCCAAGGAAAGTCCATCATAATACCATCAATACATACAGGCCACAACAAAGGCGCCTTGTGGGTTGAAAAACATCACAAATTATAAAGTTAAATTTCAATTTTGCAAATTAGCATCGCGCACTTCTGTATCGCGCGCCACTCATTTTTATTCCGACGAATTGCACAAAGCCTAATTGAATTATGATGGGGAAAATTACATTTTCTCATGGGGCGAAAATGGGAAAACAATTGGACACGATCCATCATCTGCTCGCTTCGCAATTTTCCATCTGGATGAATTCTGCATTGCCGCCAATAATTATGGCTCTTTCCATCTTTAATTCACATCATCTATGCGCAAATCTCATAAATTTCTGTGGCGCTATTTTGCTGCCATTTTCTCGATTGAATTTCATAGCTAATCCAATGAATAGAGAATTATAGTCCAGATAACTGAACATATTTGCTATACATTTCAGAAAAATTGTATGCAAAATTTTCCCAAAACAAATCCAATTGACGAGCGAATAAGTGTGGTTTCTCTTAATCAAAAATTTCACTAATTAAAATCCAAAGAAGATGTCATATTTCACATAATAAATCACTTTTCACAGGATTTTCCTGTGAATATCTTTTTGCTGGCGTTCAGATGAATTTTCATTAATAGGAAATCATATAATGCCAATTTCCCTCTCTTTATCTATTTTGGTCAATTGTCGGCGAAATTATTAATTTTCCTTTTTTGAAGGTTATTAATAGCGATCACAGAATTAAAATAAATTTAGACATTAATTAGATCGTTATTAAGTCAATTTGGCATGATTATTATTCTCTCTTGCGTATCACAACTCTTTGCCCAAAATTCAATTTCACTTAGCTTTCTAAATCACCGTAACACCTCTATTCCAACACCGCTTGTCTATCTAATGGGTTTAAACTCCAAAAATTCAAGCTCTTTTACTCATACACAACAAAAGCACACCACCGCCCGCAATTTAAACGGACTTTGAGGTAAAACACACACTCGCTCCTGCCTCAGTAACCTTTATTCATTCCGCATCCACACAGACACCCAGTTTTGGGATTAAACTTTACCATAATAACTTCATACACACCGAAAATTCCAACATTAATTTTATATTAAATTATTATAATATCATCTGTCTTTCTCCATTTTAACCCCGCAAACGATACCCGAAAACACTGTATAACACACACTCGCGCACAAACATTAAACTTTAGTTAGTTTCACAAACCCACAACCTTGTTTAATGTGCTTGTCGAATAAATAAATCACTCTGTGTGTGAGTAAACTACACATAAGGGTTTAAGATTGCTTGGAAAGAGAGAGAGAGGAAGAGGCAAAAACACTTTTTATCCACCATTTCACGTGCGATATCGCTAAAGGATATCACGTTGAGACCGCAAAATCTACTCACCATTGCGCTAATTTCCACTTCATATTCGGTTTAATTGTAACCCAAAATTAACCAACAGAGCGAAGAGGATGAAATCCTTCAGTCGCTATGCGTGGCCACAAATGAGAACCAACATTGTATTTTAGAACTAAATATAATTAACCACTCAATACGCGCTAGTCAAACTGTCGAATGGAAATTTTCATTTTTTTCTCTTTTTCATTCTTTCTACACAAATGAAACTCGAAATTCCCCCCAAGAATACTATGACTACGTGAGAAATTAAGCCATCATCATGACCAATTTGCCATTTGCCTGTCTGTCTGCTCCCAATAAATTTTACGAGGAATTCTCTTCCTCACCGCCATCAGCTTACAATGTACCACACTTTTTCCTCACCCAACGTCAATCACACTCCTAAAGATTCGCCCCATTAATGCCACGCACCGCACATTTTCCTATTCACAATATATTTAACCCCCCACATATATATATATATTGAATAGGTCGCACAATTTCCTGCGTCGTGGAAAATCGCGCAATTAAAATATCACAATTATATTTAACGAAGGAGAAACCACCAAAAAAAAACACATACACACAAAACATATAGTGAAAGACTTTTCATTTTGAACGCCTTTCCTGTGCTTTGCTGATGGTAAGAGAAAATTAATTTTAGATAGTTTTAATTAAATCAACTCCAACTCAACTGTTAACATCTCTCTATCTCCCTCATGCAACTATTCTCATTACTCAGCACACATCGAGCGACAAAACAGCATTTTACCCAAAATAAATAGCGCACTTGATGGAAATTCCCTCAGGGAAATATTATAAGAAAATTAATAGCTGTTATTGGCAGATGTTGCCATCAGTGCTAGAATAGAATTATATTAGGAAACTATATTGAAGAACTATGATGATTGAATTTAAAACAATTTTTCATTGAGCTTCTTAGCCTTTACATTGGATCATTTCTTCAAGTGTCCAGTGACGATAACTTAACGACTCAATAGCTGAGCGCCTTAAGAAACTACCATATACATCTCAAGCGCATTATAAAAAAGTAAAACACGTACACACGTGAGCTTTCACTTTCTTCCCTCGGAATGATAATACCGTGAAAACACGCGATTTTTCCCTCTCGAACTAACTCTTTGTTTTGACGACAGCACTGTATTTTCCATCATACAATGCAAGAAGTATGTGTAGAAAAACGCAGCGGTAAAAGTATGAAAGGGTGCGAAGAACTCGATACTTTTTGTTGGAAAACTTCTAAATTATGCAGCGCGTATTCTTTAGACTCTGCGGAGTTTTGTTTAAAACAAGTTAAAGTAGGTTAGATGACTCTTGAAAGTAATAATAATGAGGAAAATTGCTATAGAGAAGCCTAATAGAGAGGTAAAAAAAGTGAATCGCTGATATTTGATATTTTAATACATGAGCCAATAATGGTTGGAAAACAACGATGGAAACTTAAGCCAAACACCATTAGCACATTATAATGCAACATCTCAAATTATGCACAAAACATCTCTACGCATGAATTATCTCTTGATAAATACATATACTTAAGAGACTTTGAAGGATATATAGAATTACATATTATTCGATATCATCGCAACTCGTGACAAATTATCACATGACACAATTGTCTGATCAAACACAAACATCAAGAAGGCGAGCAAAACTATCAATTTGATAATCCACATTTAAATCACACAATGTGAGAGAGAGAGAAATTCACACAAATTTCATGAAAATACAGGGTGAATCTTGAGAAAATCATGAGAATGCTGAGCATAATGAGTTTTTCGTTAATTGCGTGCAAAAATAGACTGCTTTTATTGAGTCACAAATTCTCCCCACAACAGTGACACATAAATTATTGACAATCTCTGCGAGAATCTCAGCGATACATTTACAAATGTTTTCTCGTGACATTCTCTTTGATTTCTTTCTGATAAACTACTCATAGCTAACTAGATGTCCAACGAAACTTCAGTGAATTTTTCATACATTGCAAGATGATCCACAAGAAATTTATGAATTCTAAATTCGACACACTTTAGAGATAACAATGCAACAATGGCTTTCAATAAAAAATTTATATTACACCTCTTTACCTTCACAACGAATACCATAACATCCTCAAGTGCGTTTCTTTTATCCTCCAGAGAGACGCACTTTTATGTAGGTATAAAAATTCTCAATATATAATATGTGGAATTCCACTGGAAAACAATCTTTATCAGTGCGCAATTACAATGTGTCTGAACCACCTTGTCAGTGGATTACATTTTAAACTCCAAGTGGAATTGCGGACGAGAGATAGTGACACGAGTATTAAGCTGAATTGGGCAAATTTATCACAATCATCGCGCATATCGTTTGGGGGGTATAAAATTACCTCAAGTGCGATATGACAGTCATTCGTCGGTATGTGTTCAACCTTATCGGCAATTTCAGGTGAAAGAGAGTCATGTCTAATTGTTGATTAATTGATAAAAGAGCCACAGCACGAGTGTGTGTGTTGCTTTTATTAACTAAATAACCAAGAGATAACCACACGCGATACCATCAGCGACTTTTCACAGTGCAATCGAGAAGGCAATTTTCCGTTCATTCATCGTCTTTTCCTCACACTCTCCTTAACATTCGGCCACTCGCGTCTTGGCACTTTTGCGCGCAAAAGAGTCTCTAAAGCGCGCCAGAGAATTTAATTCCATACGGCAAATGCCTTTTGGCTTGTGGCACTTTTCTTCCTCTCTCCACACTTGCCTTCACATCAACATCTTCAACACCACAGCAATGAGTACAGTTAATCGAGTAATATTTGTAATTACAGCAAGTATGTGAGGTGTGCTTTTTTTGGTGAATCGCGCCGCTTCTCTGTTTTTTTTTGCATGACAACCGCACACAACACCTGAGATATTTTTGAGGGCAGCCGCCAAGTGAATTTTTGGAGAACCACCACACAAAACCCGCATCGCATCTCAAGCTGTCCAATTAATCCCTCAAGAGAGCCCTTTTCTAGACAACCTATGCCCAAAATAGCACTCTTTCGCTCTCTCGCGCTCTGCATCGGCCACCTAATTAAAAGACCCACAATCTTTCTATCTTTTTCAACATACCGGGAACACACATAAGCAACAGAGGAAGAAAAAAAGAAACTTGACGAGCGGGATGATTCATGGTTTTCTACTCATCAATCCCAACACGTATGACACGTGAAAGATTTCTTTGGAATCACTTTAAAAATACCCGCGAAAACGATGCTAAGGCCAATGTGGCACACAACAAAATCACACGGAAACCTATATTGAATTTCCGCCCAAAAACATAAATTTCTATGGAATTGAGACAGCGTTCAAATTGGAATTCAAAAGAAATTTCAAAATAACCAAAAAATATTGTTGCATTTAGTGAAGAAAATACCGTTGAAGTAATTGAAGCTATCGATTCAATTTGCCCACGATTTCCTTTTTCTAACACAATTTCAGTGACAAAATCGATAATTTAAATGCTAATTATTCCTTAAACTCCCTAAAACTAGTTGCACGCAATTCATATCGATAAGTGGACGAAACTTCAAAGAACTCTTGGAATTTGCCAAGACAATTTCCCGTCAGATGTATGGTGAAAAAGTCTTCCATTCACTTTTTTTCCTCTTGGCTCACATCAACACAGCAACTTGTCTTTTATCTTTGCTCTTAGGACATTTCTCACAAATAATTTATCAATATTCTACTAATGAGGCCTTCTTATGTCGTCAATTAATGGTTACGCGAAAGAACAGAAACAGAGAGAAACCATCTCTAAAATGTTGTTCTAATTTATGTAAATCAACAAAAATACAAGATTAACTTTTAGAGCGGATATCAAATGTTGAATATCGTGCGAAAATGTGCATTTTTGGACGTTTTCAGTCAGAAAATTCAGCACAAAACATCCATTTTCCCAACGTCAATTGAAGCGCGCCTCATGTTGGGCATTTAGAAATAACAATATTTTATTTTTAGATCCATTTCTTTTCTCTCAAACCATCATCATCTCTTGAAGCGCGCGTCTCGAGCGCGCGGCGTATGGAAAAGTGCCGAGGCAAAGAGACACCAAGAAAAAATGTGGGCTTCTATTCTTCTTGCCCATTTTCTTTGTTCCATTTTTCATCATCATTTTCTCCCTTGTACGCCCGCCAAAAAGAAAATCACACACACACACACACAATCCGAGCACTTTAGAAGGAAGCGACCATGGAGAGTGTGAAAGAGAGCAAATGAGAGATTCTCCGAGAGTCATCGAATCATTACGCAACTCTTGTGGTGGCGCACTTTAATTTATATCGCGCTCACCCAGCCAAAGTCACTCCATCACTATGCGTTCCGTTCGTTTCTGCACACACATGCAGTGGAAAACACAACTTGACACATCGCGCAGTGAAAAGGTCCACATTCGAAGCCATTGTGTGCTTGTGAGCAAGAGAAAATGATCCACATTGTAAAAGTACACAGAGACAAATCGTTTGTGGTTTATTTTGACTAGAAGTTTAGGATGGATGAAAAAAAGAAACTGTTTGAAGACTGTCAAATTGATAAGAAAAATTGAATTAGAAAAATCTCCACTGTCCATTCAGGGCATCAAGAAGATTCATTCAATCAGTGCACTTATCGCAACACTGACATTTACTCTCTAAGGCGCGATCAGCAACAATCACAGATAAGATGTGAAAAAAGTGAAAGAATCACAGGCATTCAATGGCAGTCATTAGACATTTCATCTCTCTTTCTCGGCCACCCTTTTGCACACGCAAACTTCTGTGCAATTATACCTCATTCAATTGGAAATTTCAACAAATTATTTCCCGCTCTTATTTATTCTCAGCAAGTCACTGGAAAAAGTGCTTCACTTCTTCTTCCAGACAATTATACTTCCTCACACTGTGTGTTTTGCATTCTCTCTCTCTCTCTCTCTCTTTCTACCTCTTCAAACAATCTGTGAATTTTGCTCCAATTCATATTCATAAACTCTCCTCATTTTAAGTCAAAATAGTGGAAAAAATACCAACTGTAAGGTGGAGATTTCAAAAATATCATACAATTGCATAATGATAAAAAAATGTGCATGAAACCACCTTCAAAATATCGCCTTCGGACTCTTGTATCTTGACTTTCTTGTTTTGACTTTCCAAGCGCATTGAGAGCTGGTCAGAAGTCGACTTAAAGACACACACAGGAGAGAAAAAAACCCAACCGAATGAAGGGAAAAGAAGTGGCTAAATTGCGATCAACATGAACCGGTCTCGGTGCCATTTACTCCAAATATTTATTTAAATACCACCTCTCAAATCAGTTTGAAAACCACACTTTTGTCACACTGCGGCGATATCTTGAGAATTGAAAGGCAAATTTGGCTTATTATCTCACACCGCATTTCCCAATCACTCTCATTCACCTGCCTCATTTGCCATGTATCGCCACGAATGTCTCTATTTTGTCTGGGACACTTCTCGCGAGATTAGGAGGAACAGCAAAAAGACCCTCAAAGAAAATGTTAAGATTTTGCACACTTATCATGGACTGTTTTTTTCCCGTGTGCGGAATTTCACTTGTTGTCGCGACATGGAAAGATACCTGACTAAGGAGCTAGATCAAAGCTAGTGACCAATGAAAAGTCACCTTATGAACCGCATCCAATATGGCGACCGCCAAAACACCCTCTCATTGGCTAGACGTCTGACGGAAATTTTCCTTTTCACCCCTTTTTCTCGTATTGCATCTCTCGCGGAATCAATCCTCGCAAGCGTCAATGGCAATTTGGGGAACTCTCCCTTCGCCGCCGTCGCTTTTCCGCATCGTCCTTTGTTCGCACACGGCCGCTGCCCCTGTCCGTGAACGGACAAGAGGCAGAGCGGCCCTTGCACGGCAGCCGTCGTGCCAAAGGCACTTTGGCAGACGTCTGAGCGCCGTGCCAAGCAGCGGATCGATAAGTTTTGACAACAGCGCGGCGGGCTGACGGCGCCCATCCGTGCCAGGATCTGTGGGGGGACTCACCTTGTTGTTGGCGTGTCCAGCCTCCGTGGCCGTGTTGTCCGTGGAGTTTCGGGTGCAGAGGCGCTTGTTGTGGGGCTCAGAGCCGCCGCTCGCGCTGCTGCTGCCACCATTGAACGCCATTGTCCCGCGCGCCGTGAAAACAAGTCTCCGAAGGGGGGCCCAGTCACTATGCCCGCGCACACGTCACGGAAGCGCGCCCCACGCCACCCAGTCCCGGCAGCTCACTCTCGCGGAAAACTCCCGTGAAATTTTCACCCACACACACTGTCTTCACGCACACTCCTTCACGCCCTATCGCTCGCGTGCGCCCTTCACGCCCCTTTAGTACCACTGATTTCGTTGCCTGCGATCCGCCCAGCGCCGCCGTTCGCCTTTGATAATCTCTCTCCTCACACAGGATTCCTATTGGATTCGTGCACGAGAACCTGCCTTCGCCGTCATCACTGAACAAAGTGCGTGTGTTGACTGACGACCAAGTCCAGCAGCGGAATCTGCAGGGCACAGCGATGGGGAGTTTTCCGTGACAGTGGTGAGTAAGCGCGCCATCTCGCGGCATGGATTCCCCCCGCTAAGAGATCTTAACACACCACTGAACTCTTATCGTACGAGCTTCGCAAGCATGAAGAGTTGATTAAAAAGCAAACGATTTTTGCCATGATTTTTATTGCCGTTAGAAAAATAGGGGATATGGGATTAAAGTATGAATAGAAAACTCTCTCTCTCTCTCTTGATTAGACATGACCAACAATGAACTTAAGAGTTCTTCTGCTGCACGCGCGTGATGACACTCTTGACTTCTGTGTAGTTTCTCAGCGCGTACTCAGAGTTCTCCCTGCCGTGGCCGGACATCTTGTAGCCGCCGAAGGGCACCTGTGCCCCAAAGGCGTTGTACGTGTTCACCCACACGGTGCCGGCGCGCAATCCCTGCACCAGATAATTCACCTTGTCGATGTTCTTGCTGAAAATCGCCGCCGCGAGTCCGTAATCCGAGTCATTGGCGCGCTTGATGACCTCATCGAGGCTCTTGAAGCGCGCCAATTGCTGCACCGGCCCGAAGATCTCCTCCCGCGAGATATCCATGTCATCCTTCACGTCCGCGAACACTGTCGGCTGCACAAAGTACCCCGGGCCGCCCACCTTCTCGCCGCCGGCCACCAGCTTCGCTCCCTGCTTCTTCCCACTGTCGATCAGGCGTAGAATCTTGCTGAATTGCTCCTCGTCCACCTGCGGTCCCTGCTCCGTGTTCAGGTCGAAGGGATTGCCCACGACGCGCTTCTTCGCGCGCTCAGCGCTGCGCTCCACGAACTCATCGTAGATACTGTCCTCCACGTACGTGCGACTGGCGGCGCAGCAGCACTGGCCCATGTTGAAGAACAGCCCGAAGTGCGACGTCTCCACGGCGTAGTCCAGATCCGTGTCGGCCAGCACGATATTGGGACTCTTGCCGCCCAATTCCAGTGTCACGCGCTTCAGATTCACCGCACTGGAGCCCTTCTGGATGAGGCGGCCCACTTCCGTTGACCCCGTGAACGCCACCTTGTCCACATCCGGATGGTGCACGAGCGCCTCGCCGGCATTCCCAAAGCCAGGAACCACATTCACCACGCCCTCTGCAAGTCAATTAGATAAGAATTTAAATAAGTGTTTGCTTTACAGTTCACTGAAAATATTAAGAGCATTTTTCCAGGCAAATTGTCATGCATACAGAAGACGGTATTAGGGACATCATTTAGCATTTTCGTGCACTCTGGAAAATTCCTTAACTCACATTCCCCAATTCAAAGTCCAACAGCTTTCGCTCAGCGGCTAATTATGGTCATTGAAATGTTTTATTAACATTTTTGGGAACTCTGCGGGTCAAATGAGAGCTATATTTTCAATTAACTATGCTTAACTTGAAACACAAGTCCATAAATATGCATAACGCGTTCATATGCGATGGTGAAGATTCAAATATCCGGCAGAAAAAACAAGTCCTTGAGAGTGTTAATGGTTTAGATGAGAAAAGTGTGATTTAATTTTATTTTAAAGACGTTTCAATCCCAATTCTTAGGCATTCATTTTCTTACACGCGCACAGAAGAGAACATTGCTTTGGCCCAACTGTAATTTATAATAGTTTCCCATGATTTTCTCAAGCATGCGCGCATGGAAAGTATTTACTTATTCTGGCAACTGCTTTTGTGTCTCTCCCACAGATATTCTCTATAGGTCTCTAAGCGCGCTGATAACATTTTTGAGTGTAGAAAGTAAAATATAAGTCGAGTCTTCGCGATAAAGTGACTTATCGTGTGAATTTACAGTCAGTTATCTTTCGTCTCTGGTCAGAAGAAGTCCACAATGTCGATTCCACGCATTATTCTGGACACTGACGGTGGTTATGACGACGCTTGGGCGCTCCTGATGCTCCTTAAGGCGCACTCTCAGCGTCGGATTCAGCTGGAGGCGATTGTGTGTGGCTCCGGGAATGCGCACGTGGACCACGTCCTCATCAACATGTGCAGAGTGCTCCAGGTGGCTGATAAGAAGGACATTCCAGTGTTCCGCGGCGCTCCGGATCCCATTCTGCCGTTTGAGCATCGTTCGCACGACAATTTCAACGGTAAGGACGGCTTTGGGGACATCTATCCTGTCACCGATCTGCCGGACATGAGTCCAGTCAACGTCACCGAACACGGAGTTAACGCAATGGCCAGAATTGTCAAGGAGAATCCCGGAAAAGTTATTGTATTTGCAATTGGAGCACTCACAAATCTCGCTCTCGCTATTCGGTGAGTTCTTTTCGCCCATGAAGTAACAAAAACCCTGACAATTTTATCTATTCCCTCTTGCCTGTGTTTCAGGATGTATCCAGAGATTGTACAGCAACTCCAAAGCGTCACTATAATGGGTGGAAATTTTGTGGGAATCGGCAATGTGACTCCCAGTGCTGAATTCAACATTTTCTTCGATCCCGAAGCGGCTGATATTGTGCTCAAGACACTCAAATGCCCAATGACATTCATTCCCTGGGAGACTTGTATTCCGCCAAGGAACCCTGTCAATTGGAATTGGAGGAAAAGTGTGCTGGGTGTGAAGAAACACCCAATTCTGGACCTCTTGAATCCTGTGGAGGAGTCAAACTACAAAGAACTTCCTCCCACACATCAATGGGCGTGTGCAGATTGTGTCGCCGCTGCTGTACTCTTGGCACCTGATCAGATTGTCAAGACATTTCAGGAAGTTTACACAGCCGTGGAATTGACTGGATCCCTGACAAGAGGACAATTTGTGTTGGATCCGCGCAGTCAGAAGCCACCGAATGCAAAGATAATCACGGAAATTCACCCAGAAGTGTACAAGAAGGCGATCTTTTGGATCCTGGACAGTCAGGAAATCTCACTGATAGACTATCTAAAGGCCTAGTGAGCAATTATGAGTGTCTCTTGAGCAATAAATGGGACTTTCGGCATATCTTTTGTGGCTTCTTTCTTATCTAGAGTGGCGTATTTACCTGGGAAGCCAGCTTCCTTGGCCAGTTGAGCGATGTAGAGCGCTGTGAGTGAAGTTTGCTCGGCAGGCTTGAGGACGATCGTGTTGCCGGTGGCGAGAGCTGGTCCCAACTTCCACGCCATCATGAGAATGGGGAAGTTCCATGGGATGATTTGGCCACAGACACCGACGGGCTCGTGACGCGTGTAGGCGAAGAAGTCGCCGTCCATCGGGATCACTTTGCCGTGATTCTTGTCCGCCCAGCCGGCGAAGTAGCGCAGATTCTTCAGCGCTACGGGAATGTCCACGTTGTAGGACATGGCGAAGGGCTTCCCGTTGTCCAGCGTCTCCAGGCTGGCCAGGTAGTTGCGATCACGCTCAATCAGATCCGCCAGACGGTAGATCAGGGCGCCGCGCTCTGACGCGTCCATGCGGCGCCACGGGGAGCCCAGAGTGAAGGCCGCCTTGGCCGCGGCCACGGCCAGATTGACGTCCTGCTTGTCGCTCTCCTGCACCTCAGCGATCACCTGCTCGTTGGCCGGATTGATGCTCTTGAAGGTCTTTCCGCTCTTGCTCTTGTGCCACTCATTGTTGTAGAAGATCTAAAGAGAAGCACAAATAATACACAATTAATCTCCATGTTCCACCGTGAATTTGCTAAATTTCACTTCTATTTATGAAATTATCGAGCTTTTATGGAGTGAATAACAAAGTCAGCTGATAAGATAAGCCGCGAGCCGGCAAGCGACTTCCACACAGAGAATAACTCTGCAAGAAGCTCTCTGAAACTCTCTACAGCTCTGGATTGATAAGTAACCAACAGCTAGAAGGTAGCGGGGAGGCAGAGAACGGAATAGTTGATAGACAAGCCGGTTTTGTGCATAGAAAATAGAAAGATTTCTGCCCGATTAGAGGTCACTTCTTCGCGGCAATACTCACGCCAGTGTAGAGGACTTTGGGGGCTGTCTGTGGGTCAGGAGCAGGCGCCGATGCCACGCCGCACTTCTGTAGCCTGAGCAGGCTGTTCACAGCCCGGAAATTCCACTTTCTCAGCATTCTCTTGACTCACGAATCACTCAATAGCGCGGTGAAAAGCACACTGTTTCGCCCGGAACGTGATGGATTTTAGTACAACCCAGCAAAGGAGCGCTCAGAAATGTCCGCGGACTTTTGTCAGACACTCCACATTAACTAAAGCTCATTCGAATTTTTAGAACAATAATAATTTAAAGGTTTCATGATTAATTCTCTACGGAGTGGATTTGTCGCCCTGAAAAGGGCGTTTTTGTTGTTTGTTGGCGAGTTTACGGTGCGTGACAGGCGATTTATGTCTTCTTCTCGGTCTTCTTGGGCAGCAGCACGGCCTGGATGTTGGGCAGGACACCGCCCTGCGCGATCGTGACGCCAGACAGCAGCTTGTTCAGCTCCTCATCGTTGCGGATGGCCAGCTGCAGGTGACGCGGGATGATCCTTGTTTTCTTGTTGTCACGGGCAGCATTGCCGGCCAACTCCAGCACTTCGGCGGCCAGATATTCCATCACGGCGGCCAAATAGACAGGAGCTCCAGCGCCAACGCGCTCAGCGTAGTTTCCCTTGCGCAGCAGACGATGGATACGGCCCACTGGGAACTGAAGCCCAGCACGGTTGGAACGCGTCTTCGCCTTTCCCTTCACCTTTCCTCCCTTTCCGCGGCCAGACATCCTTCAAATAGCTTCTTTTCTGAACTTGTAGAAATCGCACGAAATACACTCGACGAGAGTTCAGCACAGAGTGAAGAAATTTGCTCGATTTTCGGTCTTTTATAGCCTCAGTTGCCCAAGAATGCCGAGCTGCCGTCGACCTCGATTCCCCTCGCTGAACAACGCATCGCTTTACTTTGCACATGCGAGAGCAAGACGGAGTGCTATAGAGTACGAAGAGGGAATCGAAATGACCCTGCTCGTCTGGGGAAATTGACTTTATTTCACCAGATCAAGATCCCAGAACTATTAGAATCAACGTTGTTTCTTCAAATCAAACCCAAAAGTACAATTTTCATTCTCAATTAATAATTTCCACTGAATATGCGCAGTGTTCCTGCTCGGCTAGGCAACACTTCTTTATATAAAGAATATCCTTAGCTTGTCCAAGTCAATAACATTTTTGAATTATATTATTTTGCTCACTAGAAGTAGAAACATTGACGTCGTTTTTTATTCATGCTTTTTTGATTACAGCAAGATGTCGTGTAATTATTAAGTCATTTGATCCTTTAATTTGTTTCGGAATTTATTATTGGGGGAATCAGTTTCATTGTGAATTCTTTACGTATTCGCTTGATAGCCCTGATAAGGGCTGTTTTTTGATGGTATCCCAATGTGGGACGATGATAAATAGGCTCGCAAGACGGCTTTTACTTCTTCTTGGCCGCTGTCTTCTTCGGCGCCACGGCTTTCTTCGGCGATCCCGTCTTCTTGGGCTTGGGGACCTTTGGCTTCGTGCCGGCAGACTTCGCGGACGCCTTGGTGGGCTTCTGCTTCGGGGCGACCTTTTTCTTCGTCGGAGTCGCGGCTTTCTTTGCGGTTTTCTTCTCGCCGCTGGGCTTCTTCGCCGCCACGGCCTTCTTGGTCGCCGCCGAGGGCTTCTTCTTGGGCGACGCCGGGCTCTTTTTCACCTTCTTCTCGCCAGCCGATGTCTTCTTCGACGCACCGCGGGGCTTCTTCACCACGGGCTTCTTCTCGCTCTTGCCGACCGGGCCCGCCAACTTGAACGATCCGGACGCGCCTTTGCCCTTCGTCTGCACCAGAGCGCCACTCGTCACGGCGGACTTGAGGTATCTGCGGATGAAGGGCGCCAGCTTCTCAGCGTCGACCTTGTAGTTGGCTGCCACGTACTTCTTGATGGCCTGCAGAGAAGAGCCGCCGCGCTCCTTCAGGTTCTTGATGGCGTTGTTCACCATCTCAGAGGTCTTCGGGTGCGTTGGCTTCACTCGCGGCTTCTTCGCGGCGGCACTCTTGGCGGCCTTGGCTTTCTTCCCCGCTGGGGATGAACCGGCGCCTGCGGATGTTGCAACTGCTTCAACGGATGTCTCTTCTGCCATTTCTGTAGATCCTGGGTAGAAATCTCGAGAATATTGAGGTGAAATGCTACTTTTTACCTCCTTACCAACCATCGCCCATTTAGTGGAACCATATTTTTGGATGAATCTGCACACAATTTTTATGTCCGCTCGGAAAACCTCTAAAAAATCTTCAGAGCTTTGAAACGTCAAGCGACCAAATCAACGGCATTCGATAGAGTGTTTATTGATTAATGTATTCTGTGGAAATTGTGCCAAATCAGTAGATATTTATGGAGAAATTGATAAAATTGCAGATGGAAGATTCAACTGAAATTTTGGCGATTCGCAATCACTCCGAGTTTAAACAATCAATTTCCCATTTTCCTTCACAAAATTCAACTTTTCTTCACTTTCCCCGTTAAATGATTATATTTGCAAACATCCTGTCTCATTTACCACAAAATTGTGATTTTGCATTTTGGTGATTTTTGAGGTCGAATTCAACATATGCACAAGTATTCGAGTGTTTGCCATATTCGATTAGCAATTTCACCAATTCTACCTAAAAAATTTACTTTTCTCTCTAGGGCAATAAGTAAAGCAATATGTCATTAACACCATGCCAAATAATTAATTGCCACCACCAAATCGATCTCATTGTACTTCGTCATTGACGAAGAGATGCAACTCTTACGATGACATCGTCTTTGGCTCTCGTGCTTCGTGGCCGTAACGAATGTTCCTGAGTCGCATTTTGCGAAGCATAATTGTTGCAAAACACATTTTATCAAATATCGCTGAGAAATATGCTTTAGAAAGAAGTTAGGGAAAATTAAGTTATTTGCAAAGGCAAAATTCCGTATGAAAAGGATCAACACATCGTTTGATGCCATGTTCAGCAATTCCAGCCATTCTTACATCTCATGGATTATTCATTCTTCTCTTCAAATGTTATAAGGAAAAATAGAACTGTGCAGAAACTCGAAAGTTGTCTCAAAGCACTGCTCATAGAATACACAATATATTTTGTTTAATAAATTGCGTCGTGCAGAAACGACATTTGCTCATGAGGACAAAGGGAAGAACAAAGAAACGCAGCATGTTAACATCGTTTGAGAATAATATATTTTCACAGCCAGTAAAGAAGCGTTTGAAAAGGATTTCATGTCAAATTCTTTATCGTGAGGGATTTGTGGCCCTGAAAAGGGCCGTTGTTTGGTCAGGAAGTGCAAAATTCGCAGCTTAGGCGCGCTCTCCGCGGATGCGACGAGCCAACTGGATGTCCTTAGGCATGATGGTGACGCGCTTGGCATGGATGGCGCACAGATTCGTGTCCTCGAAGAGACCCACGAGGTAAGCCTCGCTGGCCTCCTGGAGTGCCATGACGGCGGAGCTCTGGAAGCGCAGATCGGTCTTGAAGTCCTGGGCGATTTCTCGCACCAGACGCTGGAAGGGCAACTTGCGGATGAGCAGCTCAGTGCTCTTCTGGTAGCGACGGATCTCACGCAGCGCCACAGTTCCGGGACGGTAGCGATGGGGCTTCTTCACGCCACCAGTGGCCGGGGCGCTCTTGCGGGCGGCCTTGGTGGCCAGTTGCTTGCGCGGCGCCTTGCCACCAGTGGATTTACGGGCAGTCTGCTTCGTACGAGCCATTTTGCTTGCTTGTTGATTTCCTCGATGTGAACACAACGACGAGAGTGAACAGTATGTTTGGTGCTTTGAGGCCTCGCTGCCTTTTTGTCAGTTCTCTCGTATCAATGGAGGGGGAAACCGATAACGCTATCTTCGCAATTATAGCCTAAAACGCCAAAGGATATTAGCTGATGACTCAGAGACTATCCTTGAAGTGGATACGAAGCTGAATACAAATGAAAAGCGCTGGAAAATGGGTGGAAAATTGTGAAATCGAGTGGAAGGGGGCGTGGCTAAAGTGACAAAAAGGCAAGATGAGCGTCGACATGGCAGAGTTCGTCTGAGAGTCTCGTTGAGTCAACATCTCGTCAAAGCAAGCTAGCAGAAAATGACTGGTCGTGGAAAAGGAGGCAAAGGCTTGGGCAAAGGAGGCGCCAAGAGACATCGCAAAGTTCTGCGTGATAACATCCAGGGCATCACGAAGCCTGCCATCCGCCGCTTGGCTCGCCGTGGCGGCGTAAAGCGTATCTCGGGTCTGATCTACGAGGAGACGCGCGGCGTGCTGAAAGTCTTCTTGGAGAACGTCATCCGTGACGCCGTGACGTACACCGAACACGCCAAGAGGAAGACCGTGACCGCCATGGACGTCGTGTACGCTCTGAAACGCCAGGGACGCACTCTGTACGGCTTCGGCGGCTAAACAACTGAAGCGGTTCTCGCTACTCACACAAAAAACGGTCCTTTTCAGGACCACAAAAGCATATTTAGAGAATTCATCTTGAAAACCTTATTTTTTGTACAATAAGAATTTTCTTAGCTCAAAAAATCGCTGCTTAGTTTACAGGTATATTTTATATATACAATTCTATAAATAAATGAATATTTTCGTTTTCAGTACAGAATATCTATTTTGAGGTGTTTTGTTGTAAAATCAGTCTCATAACCTGGAAAAATATGTCGAGATGATCAAAATGCAGGATTTCTAAGAGTTAAATAATCGGAAGGGATTCAAAATAACGACCCGAATTATAGCTATTTCTTCAACACTTCAGATGTGTACAAGATATTTTAGATATTTATTAAGTGCGACAATAGGACAAGGAGTCCTCTCGGATATAAAAGAACTTATATAAAAAGAGAAGTTTAAAGTGCAAACTTATATGCGAGGAGCTGTGACGGTACTTTGGAGTATCAGCTCCCTCTTCCACTCACGCGGCAACATATTCCAAAGGACAATTCCCTCAACAAAGAGTGAATTGTCATTGGTCATTTCTGACCATATAATTTCTCCTTGTTACAATTCAAGCGCTATTTGGCAACACAAAGTTTCATCGTCAATTCTTTACGAAATACATTTGTGGGCCCTGAAAAGGGCCATTTGTTTGTTGTCGGGGAAGAAGAGCGGTCATTTACTTGGAGCTGGTGTACTTGGTCACGGCCTTTGTGCCTTCACTCACGGCGTGCTTGGCCAACTCGCCAGGCAGCAGCAGGCGCACGGCAGTCTGAATCTCGCGACTCGTGATGGTTGAGCGCTTGTTGTAGTGAGCGAGGCGAGAAGCTTCGGCGGCGATGCGCTCGAAGATGTCGTTCACGAAGCTGTTCATGATGCTCATGGCCTTGCTGCTGATGCCCGTGTCCGGATGGACTTGCTTCAGCACCTTGTAAATGTAGATGGCGTAGCTCTCCTTACGCTTGCGCTTCTTCTTCTTGTCGGTCTTGGAGATATTTTTCTGGGCCTTTCCAGCCTTCTTTGCAGCCTTTCCGCTTGTCTTGGGAGCCATAGCGTCAAAGTGAACTCGATGAAATCTCTCTCGAAAATGTGCCGGCGAAAGAAAAGGGGCCGCTTTTATGGACTCGACTTCCCCAGACGGACAGGGTTGCCTCGATTCGCTCTATAGCATGCCGTCTCGCTCTCACTTGCACGAATTATCATGCCGTTTCGCTTAGCGAGGGGTACGAAAATTCGGCAACTCGGCATTCTTGGGCAACTGAGGCCATAAAAGACCGAAAATCGGGCAAATTTCTTCACTCTGTGCTGAACTCTCGTCGAGTGTATTTCGTGCGATATCTCCAAGTTCAGAAAAGAAGCTATCTGAAGGATGTCTGGCCGCGGAAAGGGAGGAAAGGTGAAGGGAAAGGCGAAGACGCGTTCCAACCGTGCTGGGCTTCAGTTCCCAGTGGGCCGTATCCATCGTCTGCTGCGCAAGGGAAACTACGCTGAGCGCGTTGGCGCTGGAGCTCCCGTCTATTTGGCCGCCGTGATGGAATATCTGGCCGCCGAAGTGCTGGAGTTGGCCGGCAATGCTGCCCGTGACAACAAGAAAACGAGAATCATCCCGCGTCATCTGCAACTGGCCATCCGCAACGACGAGGAGTTGAACAAGCTGCTGTCTGGCGTCACCATTGCTCAAGGCGGCGTCCTGCCCAACATCCAGGCCGTGCTGCTGCCCAAGAAGACCGAGAAGAAGACATAAATCGCCTGTCATGCACCGTAAACTCGCCAACAAACAACAAAAACGCCCTTTTCAGGGCGACAAATCCACTCCGTAGAGAATTAATCCTGAACCTTTTAAACCAAGTCTTAAAACGCATTTTCCTTAATTTTATTTTAGCTAGAATCTAAAATAATCTGAACTCAGCTGAAATGCGTTTGTGTCTCGGCTAACTGAAAAGCCGGTACACATTCAGAATCGAATCATCCCAAACCCGCCATCTTCCTGAACGTAGGCGAAACTTAGCTTAAATGCGGTTTGTGTTTCGTCTTAACGAAAACGTGAAACATGCATTTTCCCAGAAGAAACGCGCGCTTTTTCCAATTTCAAACTCTTTCCTGTCCTATCCGGTTCTCTTCTTTCTGTTGTTGAGAAATGTAAGAGAGAAAAAGACAAGATGGTACAATTGCACATTATATTATTATTTTCTAGATTAAAATTATAATTACTTAAATCATAACTTAAAACTGTACTAAAGACGAATTACTGGCGTTGAGACAAATTCTATTTACAGCTTCACTGGCCATTGTAGACGACTTCTTGGTAGGAATGACCGTAGCTGGAGGAGTTGAAGAGCCTCCCGAAGTTGGCATCCACCGTTGGAGTGACGGGAATCACAGGCATGATCATATCACTGGAAAATACAGTGGCAAAAGAGAGGCTCTCGTCAAAACAAACGTGCCTTTTTCCTTATTTCTGCAATTGCATTCGCACTTTCTCGGCGCTATAAATTACAATCATTATTCAGCCCTTCGCAAATGCAATGGACTTGTTTACTCCTCTGGCCAATCTCTTGCGAGACTCCCAGAGAGAGGCAAATACACAAAACTCTCTCAACACATGTTCGCTGGACGCTGGCATCAAAGTTAATGATCTTGAGAAATTTGGGCCAACTTTTGTTGCGCGCAGGCCAGAAAATTCTCATGATTTACTGCTAAATTTGCTGGACAAGTGCAGAAAAAAGGAAGATGCCATCCTTGCCAGCATCCGTGCAACATGTTGAGGGGTTGTGAATGCGAAACGCATGTGTTCATCTGTGCATTTTCGGGGGGAGGCAGGAAATTGAGCTTGATTCTTACGTTCTCGTTTGAGGTGTTCTGTCTCGCTGACGACGGTTCTTAAACCAGTTGGAAACTTGGGTCATCGTGAGTCCCGTCTTCTTGGCCAAAGTTTTCTTCTCGTCCGGCGTCGGGTATCTGCAAAAGGCACGAAATGTTGTAATCTTTTGTGGCTATTAAAATAGTTTGGGGAAAATTTCCATGAAGCAAAAATTTATTGAGGAACTTTGGAAGTTGATATCGATGTGGAAAAGCTCAAATTTGATGATTTTGAGGGCTATTAATTCTCCTGAATCTATTTTAAATTAATTACATAACTTAGAAATGCACTAAAATTGATTTTTCGACGCATAATAATTTAGAAAATGCCCCTATTTGTTAACACAGAAGTTTTGCAGCGTAAATATTTGAAATTAAATTTTACTCGCCTATTCCGCGTGTAGCAGTCTTTGAGGGCATTTCGGCTGCGCTCCTTGAAGCAGTACACAGTCTCCTCGCCATCCCAGATGGTCTTGGGCAGTGGGTACTTCTTGCGCAGGCGGTACTTGTCCACGGCGCCCAACGAGCGCCCGCGCACCTTCTCGGCCTCCTTGTAGTGCGCCTTGTACCACAGGTTCTGCAGCTCCGTGTGGTACTTGGGCGGGAAGCAGTGCGACTCCAGCAGCGAGTAGAGCTCGTGGAACAGGCCGCGGTGGTAGGCCACGGCCGCCCGGGCGCGCAGCACACTCTCGTTGGTGCGCAACAGCTCACTGGGTGGGAGACTCCACAGGAACGTGGCCAGCTTCTCCACGTCGCCGCGCTGCTGTAGTGCCTCGCACATGCACTGCACCTGGTTGGCGCTGAAGGAGAGACACTTGCGACTGATCTCCGGATTCACCGTCATCGGCGCCATGCCCAGGAAGTTGTTGTTCTCCGCGATCTGGCCGGCGGCCGGCTGCAGCAGCGGCTCCAGCAGCGGCTTCGGCAACTGAGCGGAACTCATGTCGTAGGCCAGCGAAGTGGGCGGCGAGGATTTCTGCTGCGACGTCTCGAAGTAGCTCATGTCACTGCCAGAAACTTTCATCTCGCCGAAGTTGGAGTCTATCAACTTCCGATCATACTCTTTGTCCGCCGTGAAGGCTTGCAGCTTCTCAGAGAAGAACACCGTCTTCACGCCACAGCCTCGATACGCTGCAAGTTGACCAGAGATTCACGAGAGTTAAGAACTTGTTCTCTTCTTTTTCACCATATTTCTGCTTAAGTAGATCGCAATTTAAGATTTTGTAAAATACGAATCGAAGGGCGAAACCACAAAAATTCTTTGGCATTCCAAAAGCTACAAAAGCTCAGCTCTTGAAAGGAAGTAAAAGCGCTCAACGACAAAATAAAAGCATCTCACGAATGTCTTCTTGAAGTGGTGGAAAATAAAAGAGTTTCCTCAATAGTCAAATCTTAAGACTTTTTAATTCATTTTTATACATTTTCAAAACTCGGTGAGAATATTTTATAAAATGATTCTTTTTATGCCTCGATCTTGTCCACGCTAAAGGCATAATAAAAGCACAAATATGATTATAGATTTGAAATAAGAAAATATGCTTGAATTTGCAGTTATGACCTAATGGCCTAATTAGTCTTTAGATTGTCGTATTTAACTGTTCTTCTCCCAAAACTGTATGAAAACTTAGTTAAAATTCATTGTCGATAATTCTATTGTCGATCTTTTGCAAGGAGAAATTGATTCAATGAGATTCTTTAGTTCAGTTGCTTGAAAGCTCATAAATTTTCCACCCCGCAGGGAAGGTATGTAATTAGAAATTGTCCGACGGCAATTAATAATTAGACATTGGATTAGAACTTGGATAGGATTATCCTTGGATTTGCTTAATTTGCATAGCACTGCGAAAAAAGGTAATAACCGAAGTCACAATTAAAGGACAAATTGTGTTTACTCTGAAAGTCATGGGCTCGATAGACTCTACAAAATTTCAAGATTAGTGCGATTATAATACAGATAAATGTGACACTTTAATGAGCAATGGAATTTCAAATACGCTTTAAATATGATAAGAAGCTCAGAACATCTTCAGAATAGAGCACTTTTTCACACTTTGCACTCATTAGTAACACATTCCTAGCCATTTCGCATCCTGAAAATCACTGATATCCTCTTCATCCGCACCTGGAGTCGATGAGTTGAGGTAGAGTCCCTGATTCTGATAAGTGCTCTGCTGAGCCGCGGTGGGATTCGTGCCTTCGGACGTGCCAGAGCTCGAGTCCAAGTCTCCGATGGGCGACAGTCCCGTGTCCATCTCACACTCTTCACATTATACCTTTTCCGGACTCGCGGTGGCGCCCCAGAGAGAGGCTTCTGGACATGCGACAGAGCGAAAGCGATGTGCACACGACGAACGGCAGCCAGAGACTGAAAATGGATCCTTCCGAACGGGAGCGAAAGAGTGCGCGGCATTTCCCGACTGTGAAAAGGGAGCTGCATCGCTCCGCCCACGGCGTGTGATTGTCAAAAGGGAGAGGAAAAGCCTTGGTAACTTTCAATTTTCTCAGCCAGGCGTGAGAGTGAGGAGGAAAAGCCAAACGTAATTTCTCTCTCACTTCACATCTCGCCTTCCGTCTGGGCTGTGAAATTCAACGCCTCGTGGAGAAACTTCTCAATCATTCACGTGCTCAGGCGGCATTGATATGAATTTAGGCATTTTCCCGCTTCAGTGGCAACCGCGTCGCTCGGATGGCCATCCTAATTTTCCCGCATTTCCCGCTGATTGACACTGCGTGGAGTCCTGGCGTGAAGTGGCTTGAAAACAACCCAAATGATTGGCTCATTTTACACGAAGAGGGAGTGGCTTTCGCTCATATCCTTTTGTTATACTCACTCGCTCACCCTTCCCCGGCGCACTCGCTCCCCTGCTGTATTGAATGACACTCTGATCATCCCCAATGCAATAACACACTCAATTATGTGCAATTTCCAGCTAAACATCTAATCTCTGCAAATCAATGGCCAAAAAGGGGCTGTGCAACTCAATTTTCTGTGTTTGTGGTCTTATTTTAGGGCGATTGTTGGGAATTTTCACCTATTTAACTGCATGAATATGAAGGACACTTTCAAGTAAATTTCACTTCTCTTCAATTCCATTCATCATACATAAAAAGACACTGCATTAAAATGAGTATTTAGGTATATTATAAAGTCCTTTAATATTAATTTTAAATTATTCATAATTATTAAGATTAAAATGAAATAATTTGATGGTGTTTTAGCCTTCTAGACAAAATTTGTTTATTATATCGATAATCCACAATAATTTAACTAATTTTATTTAATTTGTTTATTACTGTCATTAGAATATTTTATAAGGAAAATTAAAGATTTCTTCAAAGTAAAAAAGATAGTAAAAATCAACAATTTCATCATGCGATTTTGTGTTTTTCTCAGCATCCATCAGACTTTTATTTGGTTCTTTTACTCTAAAGTTATTACTGAACTCAATTTCTTTTGAAATACCAAAGAAAATACATTTAATTCATGCCCTTTTTCTTGCTCTACTTCTTTGAAAATTTTGTAAAAAAAACAATTAAAAGTTAATGATGAGCAATATCTAAAACTTACTCATCGTATTTTCAAACTTCATGTTCGGCAAAACATTTCTCGGTGGCATGAAAATTCCATTTTCCGCATGGGGTGAATTTCTCCCTTCCTCAGCATAATTGGCTCCCTTGAGATTTATTTCACCGCCAATTTGAGCCTCGCGAACATTGAAATTCAATCGCGCTGTTTGAAAATAAATGCAGTGCGCTTTGGCAAATACTGTAAGTGCACAATCTCATTTACAGTGATATCCATGTCTTCATATCTAACAACAATAAAAAGAAGTAAGTGACGACGAATCATTGTTCATTCTGTATGCGATGTCAAGTGTACTTTCCCACGCAAGAAAATGCAAACAGTGTCAAAAGTGGCCTGAAGATCAAATTAAAGTCGCCAATTTGCTGACGAAAAGCCTTTGTGGCATTTGCAATAACAAGTGACAAAGACAAGAGGCGCGCAATAAAATTCCTCTTCATTCATTATATTCGATGGAGTGTGAGTTTTTATGTGAAATGCCTTTTGGGCTGAAGTGTTTTTCCTCGTGTTCTCTGCGTCCCCTTGGTGATCCACATTCCGAATTGATGCAAGAAGCTCATGCAATAGAGCGGATTAGGGACACTTTAGTGCGATGCGAGAGGTCCTTGGCAGGGTGTCCTGCAGAAACACCACTTCAGCAACTGAATCTCGCATTGTGGCAACACAAAGGGCAGGAAAATGTCATCAAATGTGGATTAGGGATGTTTTCCATTCACAAAATCTCTGCAATTTTATTGATGGTCGAGAGAAAGGTGCAAAAGGCGCATTTGGATTCATCACACATTTTACGGTCAATAGAATTCCCTTTTTTTGCTCCTGTTTACTCCATTTATGCAATATACAAGAATACGCAATGCTCCTCCCATTCTTCTCACCTTCCTTCTACTTTCGCGCGCGTGTGTGTGCTTGTCTTGCGTGAAGATGAAGCTCTCTTGGCGACGATGAGGGGATTTTCTTGATATATCCAACGGATTTTCAGCAGAGAAACCATTTTATAATTCACAGAATATTCCTCGGTGCAGATATAGGATGAGCAACAGTCTGCCGGATCCCGACGAAGTGTCCTATTTCGCTAATAAAGTATGTGAATAACAACCATCACAGGATTTAAGAAGGGTGAAATTGGGTTTTCACAGCGCAGAGCACACTCTCAGAGCTGAATATTCCATTGAGATGAGACTGGCTGGCTCTGGATTTGTCACTATGGCACATCGTTTTGTAATTTAACACCTTATGTTTGGTATTTCGTGCGCTCGAGAGCAACGAGAAAAACAGGAGTGAATTTGGGTGGATGGAAAATCATTCTGCAATTATTTAGCAAGTTTAATTATAACATTAAATATTAATTAGCAAATTAAATTGATTGAATTTAAACTATTTTTATCTCTAAAAGACTTGTTTACATGAAACATGCGTAAAATATGACTTAAAATAATGATGATTGAAATTTAATTTACTGAGATAAATGTTAGGAGATTTTATTCGCCTAACTGAAGAAATTTCAACGCTTCTCCTAATTCAACACTGGTTTTACCATATTCGAAGAGACAGAGAATTTATTTTCCACTGGAGTCCATTTTCACATAGATGAAATAACTGCTTTTAATCACGTTAAATCATTTTTAGTTTCAGGCTCTTTCACACCAAAACTGCTGAGTATGCCTAATGATATGCTAAAAAATAGCCAATTTTCAGATTAATTTGCACTTTATTATGTTATGAAAAGACACACACTCCCAATTATGGGACTTTTTAGCTGAAGAAAACGCTCCTGTTTTGTGTCGATGCGCCCATGCAGACCTAATCCCGTCATAAGCCGAGGCAAAAGGGTCGCCTGGTGCAGAATTATCTGATGAGATTACAGTCTGGGCATTTTGCCACCTTTTGGCTACTCAAAATATTTATCTGGAGCATAAGATCATGAGAAAAAAGTCTAATGCTTTGGCCTGTGATCGGAATTCCTGATTAATTCTCCCTCAAATTCATATGCATTCTTGTCACTGTGCTTCCCAACTGATGAGATGAAAATATTGAAACATATGTGGTAAATTGCTGAGGATGGTGCGAGTTCTTTCAACCCTCCCATGGCTAATTAATCAAGGGGTTAGAGAAAGGGGTGCAATTATGTTGTATGTTTGCAATTTGATCCACTCTGGGTGAACGAAGTGTGTTTAGTTTGTGCACTAATTAAGCCATAATTATGATGCGTTGAACCGCAAAAGGCCCAAAATTTGATTTATTTGCCGTGGAAGGTGTCAAATTTTATTCACCATCTGACTTTAACATGATTTCTTACTCTGCCTTCACTCTTGTGGCCGCTCTAAGATGCCCAGGGTGACATTGTGCCTAGCAAATATATGTGATTACAAGGACTATACAAGTGTAATCTCTAATTCATCGCGATTTGCCAGATAATCTCGTGGTGGAGTTTTATCAATTTAAGAATTCACACTCCATTCATGCTCTGGCCTTGACTTATATTCATTAGCGCAACCGATCTTTGGTGTGATAGCAAAATCAGATTGACAATTTGTCACGCGTGTCCAGTATTATTTGCATTTTTCCCCGCGTGTATAAATAGAGCTGGATGAATCAAATATGCATCACAGCTTTAGTGTGGAGTGAGTGTGAAAAATGAATTACAATCTTTGCTTTGTGATTTTGTTGGTTGTTTGGACTAATGATCAGGTTGAGGGCCAATTTAACCCTCACTTCTTCCCCGGTCGCAGTGTTATTGTGCATCTGTTCGAGTGGAAGTTCTCTGACATTGCCACTGAGTGTGAGGAATATCTTGGGCCGAATAGCTTCGGGGGAGTTCAAGTGTCGCCCGTGAGTGAGTGCGTCATTTCCCCGAAGCGAGCGTGGTGGGAACGCTACCAGCCAGTATCTTATGCCATCATCAGTCGCTCAGGGGACGAACTGGACTTCGCGGACATGGTAAAGAGGTGCAATGAGGCCGGAATCCGCGTATATGTCGACGTAGTGTTCAATCACATGGCGGGCGGCGAAGGAGAGGTGATTGGAGTGGGAGGAAGCATTGTGAGTCCCCAGGAGAGACTCTATCCTCACGTTCCCTACGGACCGGATGACTTCAATTCGCCCTGCCTCATTGAGAACTACCAGAACGCGAAGGAGATCAGAGACTGTAGTCTGCTTAACCTTCCAGACCTCAATCAGAAGTTATCAGATGTGCGAGCGAACATGATTGAATTTCTTGATCGCCTCATCGATTTCGGGGTGGCGGGATTTCGAGCTGATGCTGCCAAACACATGTGGCCAGATGATATAAAGTACATTTTTGGCAATACTAAGAATCTGAACAAAAAGTTTAGCTTTCCCGACAATGCCAGACCATTTCTCTACCAGGAAGTCATTGATATGGGCAATGAACCGATATCAAAGTAAGTTGAAAGCCCAGAAATCTCATATTGAAAGCTTTAAAATCATATATTTCGTTGTACAGAAATGAATACACAACCAATGGCGTAATTACCGAGTTTCTCTCCTCCGCTGAAATTGGCAACATTTTCCGCCACAAGAAGCTCAAGGAGCTGATCAAGTGGGGAACAGACGAGAGATTCCTCCGATCTGACAGAGCCCTTGTCTTCGTGGAGAATCATGACAATGAGCGTGGACATGGAGCTGGCGGAAAGGACATCCTCACCTACAAGGACGGAAAGCGCTATCTCATGGCTGTTCTCTTCATTCTCGCCCATCCTTACGGCATCTCGCGCATCATGAGTTCCTACGACTTCTCCAACAGCGACGAGGGGCCTCCGATGAGTGCCGAGGAGGAGATCCTGTCGCCAATCTTCAATGAGAGAGGTCTCTGCATCAACAGCTGGATTTGTCAGCATCGCTGGCCAGGAGTGGCCGGGATGGTGCAGTTCAGGAACGCTGTGGCCGGAAGTGGAATAGTCAACTGGGCAGACAATGGAGAGCATCAGATTGCCTTCTGCCGTGGCGAATTGGGCTTCGTAGCCTTCAACGGTTACACCATGTCCAATCTCAACTCCACTGTGAAGGTCTGCTTACCACCGGGAATTTACTGCGACGTCATCAGCGGCGAAGTCGCCCTGGATGGGTGCACAGGACTCGAGGTCGTGGTGAAGGATTCCGGATACGCCAACATCTTCATCCCGGGCGATTCACCGACAGGCGCTCTCGCCATTCACTGGGGTTCTCTCTATCTGGCGAAATGAGTGCATCTGAATGATCTAAATATATAAAACACTTAAGCAAATATGTATCTAATGTGCAAAAACACACATCATGTTTTATATTTACTGTTTTCTCATACTCGATAAAGCAAATCATGATTTTTATGATCTTGAGATGCACCTGAAGCTCATTTTTTCCTCTACTTTGATGCTCCAGATGCGTATAAAAGGCAGTCTTTTAGAGTTAAAAGTCAGTCAAAGTCTTCCCTTTCGAAAGTAATCATGAATATTCGCGTGTTTCTTCTATTTTTAGCGTTCTTCTTAGTTGACTGTCAATTCGATCCTCATTATGTTGATAAGCGAAATGTGATTGTTCATCTCTTCGAGTGGAAGTGGAATGATATTGCAACAGAATGTGAAAATTTTCTCGGGCCAAATGGATTTGCTGGAGTTCAAGTGTCGCCCGTCAACGAAAACTGGGTGTCAGACAACAGAGCTTGGTATGAAAGATACCAACCAATGTCCTATATGCTCACAACCCGTTCAGGCGATGAGGCAGAATTTGCGAATATGGTTAAAGTTTGTAACAAAAATGGTGTTCGCATATACGTTGATGTTGTCTTCAATCACATGGCTTCTGGATCTCTGGGCAGTAACATTGTGGGAACTGCTGGATCTTCAGCTGATCCTGACAGCTTCTACTACCCGGCAGTTCCTTACAGTAAAGGAGATTTCCATCCTGATTGCACCATAACAGACTATCAAGATGTCTATCAAGTGAGGAATTGCCAGTTGAGCAGCTTGAGGGATCTCAACCAGACAATTCCCTACGTTAGACAGAAGATTATTGATTTTCTGGACCACCTAATCGACTTAGGAGTGGCTGGCTTCAGGGTTGACGCTGCTAAGCACATGGATCCGAAAGATCTGCGCTACATTTACAACCATGTGAAAAAACTGAATAAAGAGGCCGGATTCAAGGCTGCTGACAAGGCTTTCATAGCCCAAGAAGTTATTGATCTGGGAGGAGAAGCTGTAACATCGTGAGAAAGCATTATTTTCTTAATAATTCCCCAAAATTCTTGTGGTTTTTCTTTACTTGCAGACGCGAATACACATCATTGGGCATTGTCACTGAGTTTAAGGCATCGGACGATCTGGGAAAGGCCTTCCGTGGTCAGATTCCTTTAGCAGAACTGGATAAGTGGGGCCCTTCGTTTGGACTTTTGCCATCGAATAGAGCTCTTGTTTTCGTGGAAAATCACGACAATGAGCGCGGCCACGGAGCTGGAGGAGCGAATATTTTGACCTACAAAAATGGGAAGATCTACAGAATGGCGGTGATTTTCAATCTAGCCCACTCTTATGGAATTCCGCGCATTATGAGCAGCTTCGAGTTTGATGATTCAAGCCAAGGACCTCCGCATGATGACAGCAATAACATCCTGAGTCCGCAATTCTCAGCAGACGGGACGTCTTGCGCCAATGGATGGGTTTGCCAGCATCGCTGGCCAGCACTGAGGAACATGGTGAAGTTCAGGAATGCCGTGGGCAATGCTCCAGTGGTGGCGTGGCAAGACAACGGCTCCAATCAGATTGCCTTCTCAAGAGGAAATAAGGGATTTGTTGCCTTCAATAATGACGTTGTTGATCTCAATCAAAAATTCCGCACCAGATTAGCTGCAGGGACGTATTGTGATGTCGTTTCTGGAGAGAAGATCGACAATTCGTGCACAGGAAAGACACTTCTAGTGAGAGGCTCTGAAGTGGCAGTTATTCTGAGAGCAGATGATGAATATGGAGTTGTAGCGATTCACTCTTCGTCCAAATTGTAGTACATTTATGATTTTTTGTAAGAATTAAACAAAAATACAAAAACTATCCATCATAATTGGTCACTATTCTGACACTATCAATTTCTTTTCACCTGAAAATTATAAAAATGTCAGACAAGGTTCTTCAACTTTCATGCACTGATCTAGAAAAGGAAAGGAAAGCACTAATTTATTACTCTTGCTTTCTTTTTTATAATCTTTATTTCTATGGGTGTACGATAATAGAATGAATTCGAGGTCAATTGGGAGGTTTTTTCCATTAGTATTGAAATATTCTGTCTGAACTGAGTTGAAGAATAAACATTTGAGGTGTGCGTAACCATTTCAAAATATTTTATTTTCTGGTTATTTTATCTTAATTGGAGTGAAATTTGTCAACACCTGTTTAAATTGAATGTATATTTTTTAGCACATCAGAAGATAAAGATTAAGCATATAAATGTAAAATTTCCTCAAGTGTTTTTCAGTGAGACTTTGCTCTTTAACTACAAACCATCATGAAGTTCTTTTTGTTTTCTATTCCAATTCTAATTGGACTTGCGCAGGGTCAGTTTGACCCTAACTATGTTCCGGATCGAAATGTTATTGTGCACCTCTTCCAATGGAAGTACACAGATATTGCGAATGAGTGTGAGAATTTCCTGGGCCCGAATGGATTCGCTGGAATTCAGATTGACTCCCCTGCTGAGAATGTCATTGTCACTGAAGCCCAGTATAGTGGCTATCCGGATCGTCCTTGGTGGGAGCGCTATCAGATCGTGTCCTACAAGCTTGACCAAACGAGAGCCGGAAGTTACGCAGAGCTTGCAGACATGATTAGCCGGTGCAACGCTGCCGGTGTCCGGATCTACGCTGATGCTGTGTTCAATCATATGGCTGGCCTGGGAGCACTAATGGAGTAAGTAAATGCATTTGAGATTTACAACAAACTGAGACAAATATAATTAACTCTTGATGTTGCAGAGGAACAGCAGGATCGACGGGAAACTCTGTTATCAGGAGCTTTCCTGATGTGCCCTACATAATTACTCACTTTCACATTCCCTGTGGCATAAATGACTACAATGACGCAAACCAAGTGCGAAATTGCGACCTTGTTGGCGCTCCCGATCTCAACCAGGCTCTTTCTTACGTCAGGGGCAAGATTATAGACTATCTAAATAGCTTGATTGGTCTCGGAGTAGCTGGATTCCGTATTGACTCAGCGAAGCATATCTGGCCGCAGGATTTACAAGCCATCGCGAGTAGTTTGGCAGATCTGAACACAGCCCACGGATTCGCTCCTGGCAGCAGACCATTCATCTATCAGGAAGTCATTAATGTGGGCCCCGAAGCTGTGTCAAAGTATTCTTAACTTCAAAATCCCACAAGCAATCACTAAAATTTGGTCATTTTCAGATATGAATACACTGATATAGGAGACGTGACGGAGTTCCTGTACTCTGTCTCCATCGGAGGTGTTTTCAAGAAATTCGAGGGACATCATTTAAGTGAATTGGCCAATTGGGGTCAACCGTGGGGCTTCTTGCCATCGAATCGCGCTCTGGTCTTCGTTGAGAATCACGACAACGAGCGCGGCCACGGCGCAGGAGGAGATCTAATTCTCACCTACAAAGACGGCAAAGTCTACAGGATGGCTGTGTCATTTGGCTTGGCTCATCCTTATGGAGTCTCTCGTATCATGTCTTCTTACGATTTCACGGATACCGAAGTTGGACCTCCGATGGACGCGAATCAAGACGTCATTTCGCCCAGCATCAATCCTGACGGCTCCTGCGGAAATGGATGGGTTTGTCAGCACAGGTGGCATCAAATCTACAGCATGGTTCGCTTCAAGAACGTGGTGAAGGATGCTGAATTGAGCAATTGGTGGTCGAATGGAAACAACCAGATCGCTTTCGCTCGAAGCGGACGAGGATTCGTGGCCTTCAACAACGAAGGATCGGACATGAGTGTCAATCTGCAGACCTCGCTTCCGGCTGGGACTTACTGCGACGTGATCTCGGGAGGCAAAGACGGCACGAGCTGCACTGGAAAGTCCGTTGTGGTGCAAGACGACGGAACGGCGGACATCGTCATCGGTGCCGCGGAAGATGACGGAGTTTTGGCCATTCATATTGATGAGAAATTATAAATCCTATAAAATTTGATTTAAGCTCTCAAAGAAGCCTTTGAAATACAGCAATTGAGAGTGTGTATGCTTTTCATGTGTCCAGCTTCTGTGTATCAAAACACTCTTTCTGATTAATACGTCAATATGATTTACTTAGCTGCCCTTATCGCCACATGATAAATCACTAGTGGCCAGTATAAAAGTGGGAAACGCTTTACTCAGTTCTTCAGTAACACTTTGAGCATGAAGCTGCTTTCTCTGCTCCTCCTGACCTCCGTGGCCCTTGTCCGGGGTCAGTTCAACCCGAACTTCGCCTCTGGGCGAAATGGAATTGTGCATCTCTTCGAGTGGAAGTGGGAAGACATTGCTGCTGAGTGCGAGAGATTCTTGGGGCCGAATGGCTTCGCTGGAGTCCAAGTGTCGCCCCCAAATGAGAATGTCATTGTGACGAATCGCCCTTGGTGGGAGCGTTATCAGCCCATGTCGTACAGACTTGAGACGCGATCGGGAAATGAGCAACAATTTGCGAATATGGTGTACAGATGCAATAACGTCGGAGTGCGCATTTATCCTGACATTGTGATTAATCACATGGCTGCCGCCCATCCAGTTATGATGTGAGTAATGCTGGAAATTTCGCTATACAAGAAACTTACCGATTTCCCATCCCTAGCGGAACCGGAGGATCAACTGCTAACGTTGCCAATAGGGACTATCCGGGCGTTCCTTACAGCGTTCACGACTTCAATACACCTTGCTCAATAGATAACTACCAAGATCGCTATCAAGTGCGCAATTGCGAGCTCGTTGGACTGCCAGATCTTAATCAAGGTGTGGCCTGGGTCAGGGACAGAATGGTTGAGTATCTCGATCACTTGGTGGCTCTCGGAGTCGCTGGCTTTCGTGTTGATGCAGCTAAGCACATGTGGCCAGGAGATTTGGAGATTATCTATGGCAGAGTGAGGAACCTGAATGTGGTTCACGGCTTCCCAGCCAATGCCAGGCCGTTCTTCTTCCAGGAAGTCATAGACTTGGGCAATGAAGCTATTTCTAAGTAACTAACACCTTCGGAAAACCTAAAAAATTTCCCTCTAATCATTTCCCACTTTCAGACATGAATACACAGGCTTTGGCGTTGTGACGGAGTTCAAGTTTTCATCGGATATCGGAAGGGTTTTCCGAGGAAACGATCAACTGCACCACCTTTCCAATTGGGGAGAAGGATGGGGATTTTTGCCATCGCATCTGGCGCTGGTCTTCGTTGAGAATCACGACAATGAGCGAGGCCATGGCGCTGGAGGAGATCAAATCCTGACCTACAAGAATTCCAAGCAGTACAAAATGGCTGTGGCATTCACTCTTGCCCATCCATTCGGCATCCCGCGCATCATGTCCTCCTTCGCCTTCACCGACACCGACATCGGTCCGCCAATGGATGGAAACCAGAACATCATCTCGCCCAGCATCAATGCCGATGGCACGTGCGGAAACGGATGGGTTTGCCAGCACAGGTGGCGCCAGATCTTCAATATGATCAGGTTTAGGAACGAAGCGGGATCTGCTGGACTCACAAACTGGTGGTCCAATGGAAGCCAACAGATTGCCTTCGCTCGCTCAGGACGAGGATTCGTCGCCTTCAACAATCAGGGATCGAATATGAATGTTAATTTGCAGACTTCCCTTCCGGCTGGCAATTATTGCGACGTGATTTCGGGAAGTGTGTCCGGAGGCTCTTGCACAGGAAAGACAGTGACAGTTCAGGCAGATGGCAATGCAAATATTGTCATTGGAGCTGCAGAGGAGGATGGAGTTCTGGCTATTCATGTTGGCGCAAGATTGTAATAAAATCATTCTTTGTTAGATATCAGATGAAGACTTTAAACTGGGAGTAAAATTCCAGTATTGATTAGATTTGTTCACGACTCGATGGTGTGATTGATACTCATTGACTCTTGTTAGTGTATCGTAAAAATCCGTCCAGTTATCTGAAGAATGTCTTTAGCTGCCAAAACCAAGATTGATCGCTCCTGTGAGAGTATAAAAGTCATGCAGATCTTATAGATGGAGTCATTGTGAATTCAAAAATGAGGCAAGTGAGTGTGATCTTTGTGTTGTGCTTCTTGGCATTGGCCAGTGCGCATCATTGGCCAAACTTCTGGGATGGTCGAACAGGTATTGTTCACCTATTCGAGTGGAAGTTCAAGGATGTGGCGGATGAGTGCGAGCGCTTCCTGGCACCGAAGGGATACGCTGGAGTTCAGTTGTCGCCTGTGAATGAAAATGTGATCATCCGGAATCCCAATCGACCTTGGTGGGAGCGCTATCAACCAATTTCTTACGTCCTGACAACAAGATCTGGAAATGAGAACGACTTCCTGGACATGTCGAGGAGATGCAATGCAGTCGGAATCAGGATCTACGTCGATGTGCTCCTGAATCACATGTCAGCGGACAATCATCCCTCTGACGGAACTGCTGGAAACTATGCAGATACCTCGGCTAGACAGTGGCCAGCTGTTCCGTACGGCCCCAATGACTTCAACCCGCGATGCAGCATCTACAACTGGGACGATCCGGTGGAGATCAGAAACTGCGAACTTGTGGGCCTGCACGATCTCAACCAGGCATCTGAACACGTCAGAAGCATGCTGGTGAACTTCTTGGATCACTTAGTCGAGCTGGGAGTGGCTGGATTCCGTGTTGATGCCGCCAAGCACGTTTGGCCTCACGATCTGGAAGTCATCTACAACAGAGTCAGGAACCTGAACACAGCCTTCGGATTTCACGCCAACAGTCGACCCTTCTTCTACCAGGAAGTCATTGATCTGGGCGGCAATCCCATCCGGTACGAGTACACTCCTCTGGGCGCTATCACTGAGTTCAAGTACTCAGCTGAGATTGGAGGAGCTTTCCGCGGATGGAATGATCTGAGGTGGTTGTACAACTTCGGTCCCGCGTGGGGATTTGTCCCATCAGACGTGGCTCTGGTGTTTGTGGACAATCACGATAATCAGAGAGGTCACGGAGCTGGAGGTGACGCCATTTTGACGTACAAGAACCCGAAGCAGTACAAGATGGCAACGGCTTTCACCATGGCCTGGAATTACGGCACGATCAGACTGATGTCTTCCTTTGCATTCGACGACGGCGATCAGGGACCTCCTCAGGACAGCTACGGAAACATCATCTCGCCGTCCATCAATGCCGACAACACTTGTGGCAATGGATGGGTGTGTGAGCATCGCTGGCGGCAGATCTACAACATGGTTGGCTTCGCCAATCAAGTTAAGGGCACAGGAATCAATGACTGGTGGGACAATGGCAGAAATATGATTGCCTTCTGCCGTGGCGATCAAGGTCAGAGGCAAAAGTGAAACAATTATAGCGAACAGAGTACTAGATAAATTATCTTTTCTCAGGTTTCATCGCTTTCAACAATGAAGATCACAACTTCAGTCACACTCTGCAGACTTGCTTGCCGGCTGGAAGGTACTGTGACGTCATTTCTGGCGAAAACATTGGCGGAAGCTGTTCCGGTCTCACCATCACCGTCGATTGGGATCAGACGGCGCACATCACCATTCCTGCTGATTACTATGACGGCGTCGTTGCCATCCATCGTGGTGGAGCTTCAAGAATCGACTAGTCGTCAGTAAACCTCCCAATTGATTTCGCGATACATATTCCTGAATTTGCTCATCCAGAAGTCTGCGCAGTCCTTGGAGCAGAAGATCGCGCTGAACACTACTCCACTTGGATTTTGAAGTCTGAAAGCCCATATAGGAAAAATCAGTAAATAAATGCAATGTTCGTCAGCACGTGCAGAAGAGTTACTTTTTGAGGAGAACAAAGTGGCACTCCTTGAAGATGGGACTGGAACAGAAGCCATTGCCACAGTGTCCGATGGGGCCCATCTTGATGTAGTGCAGAATAATTCTGGGCACAAATTCGGCAAGGAGACAATCGAGAATTGGTCCCCAAAAGTTCGTGTAGATCTTCCTGATGCACAACTCAAAGAGACTGAATGGAATACGGGTAGATCTCTTGTGGACGTCAAAAACACCGCGAGGCAGATTAAACCAGCGATTGTCTTCAGGTGAAAACAGCTTAACTAAGTTGTCTTTCTGGATGTTAAGTCTTCAAAAGAGAATGATGACAACACAGTGAGAGATATGAAAAATGTCTTAATTTGCGCAACAATTCTAACGATGAATGACAATTAATTCGATGAGAATGTTTTTAAATAACTCCTCAACTCACAAAGGGCAGTAAATTGGCAATGGTTCCATCCATGGTTGAAGAAACTTCTCATAGACGATTGGAATGTGAGTGAGCTTCTGGTTATCGAACGCCCTCACGTGAACTAATCTCGGGCCAACGACGTAGGGCAGATAAGACAGAGCGCAATCTTCAAAGAAAGCCTCTAATCAGTGAAATGTTGCTGAAAAATTGGCATTAAAAAGCCTCCTAACTGTTTATATCGAAGTAGATGAGCTTGCAGAGATCATAAATTCTCGGTGGAATTTCTGTCAGCAGGTGATTTCCGCGGAAGTTGATTTCCAACAAATTCGTGCAATTTCCCAGTTCATTTGGCACGATTGTCAAGAGATTCTTGCTCACATCGAGCGCTTCTAGGCTCTTGAGAAAGCCAACTTGTCTGGGAAGTGTTGCGATCTCATTTTCACTCACATTGAGACACTTTAGCTTCAAAAGTGCGCCAATTTCGGCTGGCAACTCTCTCAGGCGATTCCTGGACACATCGAGGAACTCTAGATTGACGAGATATTGAATGTCCGCTGGGATCTCATCGATGAGATTGCCAGTGAGGTGAATAAATTTCAGATTGGTCATCTGAAACAACCACAGTGGTAAGCACTCAATAAAGTTCTCCTTCAGGTATATTTCTTCCAAGCGTTCACTGGCAGTTTGCACTTCAGTCGGAAATACCTTCAAGTCGCGATAACTCCAGTGCAACACATTGAGATTCATGACGAACGGGGGAAAATGCAGAGAGGAAAAGTCACTTATTCACTGTGAAAAATCTAGTTCAAGACTAACTGAGATGAGATTTTATAAACAGAAAGAGAAAATTTTGGCACAGATCTTCGAATTTATTTTTATCATACAATCAACTGTTGACGCGACGTCATAAGCAAGTGTGCGAGGAAGAAATTGTCACTGTGAGAGTATAGTTAAAATTATGATTTACAGTTTTTCCTTCAAGTGAATGGCCAGAACTCCGTCATCTTCCGCGGCACCGATGACGATGTCCGCCGTTCCGTCGTCTTGCACCACAACGGACTTTCCAGTGCAGCTCGCGCCGTCTTTGCCTCCCGAGATCACGTCGCAGTAAGTTCCAGCCGGAAGCGAGGTCTGCAGATTGACACTCATGTCCGATCCTTCGTTGTTGAAGGCCACGAATCCTCGTCCGCTTCGAGCGAAAGCGATCTGGTTGTTTCCATTCGACCACCAATTGCTCAATTCCGCATCCTTCACCACGTTCTTGAAGCGCACCATGCTGTAGATTTGATGCCATCTGTGCTGACAAACCCATCCGTTTCCGCAGGACCCGTCAGGATTGATGATGCGCGAAATGATGTCCTGATTGTCGTCCATCGGCGGACTTTGGTCAATATTGGTGAACTCAAAGAAGAATGAGGACATAATTCGGGTGATGCCGTAAGGATGAGCAATGTTGAAGGCCACGGCCATTCTGTAGGGTTTTCCATCTTTGTAGGTGAGAATCTGGTCTCCAGAAGTTCCGCGCTCGTTGTCGTGATTCTCAACGAAGACCAGAGCGCGATTTGATGGCAAGAAGCCCCAAGGAACACCCCAATTAGCCAGTGCGTCCAACTGATCGTTTCCCCTGAAGGTGTGACCAAGATTGTATGAGGCAGAAAACTCTGTCACAGCGCCTAAGCCGGTGTATTCGTATTTTGAGACCACGTCAAAGCCAACATCAATAACTTCCTGGTAGAAGAATGGCCTGGTGTTCTCCGGGAATCCATGTTTGGTGTTCAAATTGCGCACTTTCCCATAGATTAGCTCCAGTTCAGATGGCCACATGTGCTTCGCGGAATCTACCCGGAATCCAGCCACACCGAGAGTGACCAAGTGATCAAGATATTCCACTATTTTCTCCCTGACATACTCGAGTGTGTGATTTAGATCAGGGGCACCGAAGAGTCCACAATTGCGCACTTGCGCCGCATCATTCCAGTCTTCAATTAAGCAGGAAGTGTGAAAGTCTTCGGCGGAATAAGGAACAGCGGGATATGATCTCTCCACACCATCAGCTGTCGATCCTCCAGTTCCCCTGCAAAATTGCAAATAGTTAATTACTTTAGAACAACTTTACTATGGATTCACGTACACCATATTCGCCAGGGAGCCCATATGATTGAAGACAGCATCGGGATAAATCCGTACACCAACGTCGTTGCATCTGCGCACCATGTCTGCGAACTCCTTCGCATTGCCGGACCTTGTTTTCAGCTTGTACGATATGATTTGATAGCGCTCCCACCAAGGACGGTTGCCGAATGGATACGGAGGATCCGTGACGATGGCATTCTCAGCTGGAGATGAAACTTGCACTCCAGCAAAGCCTTTCGGTCCCAAGAACTCTTCGCACTCCACCGCGATGTCGGTCCACTTCCACTCGAACAGGTGCACAATCACATTGCGCTTTGGCGCAAAATTAGGATCAAACTGACCCTGTGCAACAACACTAAAGCTCAAGAGGATTACTAGAGGCAACATGTCACAGGAAAATCGCACTAGATACTGAAGAGGTCCACCAAAAACTGCTTGCTTTTATACTATTATGCAGATTTCCAGAAGACTGTTAAGCAATTTTACCCAAATGTTACGCGATGGAAGATAAGACGAAATGAAATAAACTTGAGGTGAAAGCTAGAACAGACATTTGATATCGTATCCACACAAACTGTTGTGAATTTATTTGTACGATAAGTTTGTCTAAAATATGTGCGAAAAATGTAAATAGACTCAGCTTATTCTTAATTAATACAAAAATGAGACCAAGAAAATTATGTTTGGGAGCTATTTATAATATTTAAAAACCAAATTATACTACCTAATTTATTTGAGAATTTTGAAGGTTTAGGGATAATTTATCGCATTAAGAGAAAAACGTCAAAAGTCGCTGAATCAACGAATTTGATGAATTTTGTATGAAATGTTTCTGTTGATTACAATATCTGTTGTTTACTTTTTTGATAATTATCGAGAAGTTCAAACTGATCAAATATCGGTGAAAGATGTTTAAGACGTTTTAATTAATTTAATTATGACATTCAAATGACAAAATATCTAAATGACCTGTAAAGTTTGTACAACTTCTTAAATTTCACTCGAAACATTCGTCTACTAATGAAGATATCACATTCCAAAAGTCGGATCTTCATTTGCAAGCTCTAAACTAAGCAAATTCACTGTCAGAACGCTTGTTTAGTGTGCTAATCCACAAACACAAGTGGGTTACAGTGATTAGCGACATGTTGACAGAGTCTCACGATAAGTTCTCTGCATCTGGATTTAAATGCTAATGCCACTGAATAGGAAATAAATGTTTTCCCCACACAATGTTCTCTCATGACGTCGCTACAAAATAAACCCGTCTTCAGTAGTGTTGAAAGGGAATTTTCAGTTCTTTCCGCATCACAGCATTCTAAGAAGCTGTATTGAATGTGGAGAAAAGAATTCCAGTGTGCAGAGGAAAAACCACGCGGAACTGATGTTGATGGAAGGGTTCGTGATTGTCCAGTGACAGGATTCCAGCGAAAATGGGGATTTTAATGATAATTATGATTGCTTATGTGGAATTTATGCTGGGTAAGAATTTCGGGAAAAGTTCTACGCTTCAGCATCGAGGCGATTCTATTGAAAGCTCTTGCAAAAAAAACGCAAACATCTTTCGTCTCGTGATGTCATTGAACTATGAATATTAATACTCTCTCATAGTCAGGCGTGGATAACGTGAATTTTTTCTGCACTCCAACTTGAGTGTAGAGATTGAAGATAGAATGGGGAATTTTTCAGCCTGAAAGCGGACAAAGTAATTGCTTTTTTTCTCCTTCACCACTTTTCAATTAATTCGCAAAATCTAATTCTGAAGTGGTTTCGGCGGGTGATGCGCGAGGAGGCTCGATGATATATATGGACAGGGATAAAAAGTCAGACCTTTCGCGAGACGGATGGGGAAAAAAGAGAGGAGAGACTTCACGTGAGCACTAAGGAAAAATCAACATGAGTGAGCGCGTAATCAGCTGAAGAAAACGTGAACGCATATTACAATTGCCCCGTGTTATCGGGTTTGTGAATGTGTGTTGATTGAGTCAATACTTTGAAGTTGGCTGGTTATATTCCGGGGAAGAAGCTCAAGTGATAATGCAATAATTGTGTGCTCTGCTATAAACGGCGGCTGCTTCGTGGATGATACACCAATAAAATTTCTGTGATCGTAGAAACAATTTCCAGCCTATTATCATGATTTATCACCACAGCTCTGGCATGATACCTAACATTGTAGCTCACTTACAAATGTAGACATTATTGTGAAATCTCATAAGACCCCATTTGGGGCTTTTGGACGATCTGTGGAGCTTTCTTCGGATCTTATCACGCAAAGTTTGTCCTCATCGCGATCGTCCATTTATTCGTCATAGTCAGCGGCACGCAGAGAATAGCTCAGTTTGTGGACTATTATGTAATTTAGAATAATACTTTTGAGATCACTCAAAATTTCACGGTGTTTGAACATGAGTCAGCCTTTGCATTGGAGCGTACGCTAACTAAACTCATCTATTGGACACAGGATACAGCAATTGGACTGTCACATTGTCTTTGTCAACTCTCAGCACGTCTTTCTGACTACTTAGCGACCTAATATGCATCTCGAGCATGGCTAAGGCTGTGTGACAATTAAATTAGCTTTCAAAACTACTGATAAAAATTTCCAAAATGAAATATTAATGCGATCTTCTGTAATTATAGAGAAGCAAGGGGAGATAATATGGTCAGAAGTGTTGCGATTCCCTTCAAAGGTCCTCTGATATAATCTGGTGTTTGGAAACAACTTTGCAAGCCTTCTTCTAAGGGCCTCATCTTAGTTTGAAGGATTCCAACTTTGTTGCGCGTCACTGAGAATCATACGAATTATGAAGTCTGTTTTCATCAGCAGCAAATATGTTTAAGCAGGTGATAATACAATTACAGAATGAACACTTGAAGTAATCAGTGGTGACTCACATTGAGACAGAACGGAGAAGACAATACAAATTACCACTATTTAGCTGAATATTCTAAAGCCACATCCAGTCAATTTGCCTCACTCTGTTCTTCAATTCTCATGCCAATTGTACTCAATTCATTGATCGTGCGACAATGCGTCAGTGATAATGGGATTCGGTGTGATTTTGTGCTCATCTGCAAGTGGACCGCGAGTGTCATTGTGGGTGGAAATATTTGTGAATTCTCATCATGAGATCGACCTCAAAACAGCCAGCATTGCTACACTCGCGACTGGGTGATTTTCCACTTTGCATTCCTTTTCACTTCTTTTCACGTGGTGAAAAAAAAATATTTGCAAATTGCCTTTATCACGCTGCTCAGCATGCAAACATTGAGAGATCATTCATCCTCCAGTGACAATTTCACCAATTATGAACACCTTCTGTGTTATTCTGGACACATTTTGCCAATATACCTACCTAAAATGAGAAGAGGCCAAAAATATTGACACAATGGCCAATTACACGGCGATCGTGCATAATTTTCTTGGGCTGAATAATTTCGTTGCGTTCAAAAATAGACTCTGTGTGGCTGTTTTTGTTTGGAGATGTTTTTTTGGTGTTGACAGAATCATTATTATGGCATCAATTGAAATTGGCTTTTTTTCTTTCATCTTCACAGGTCCAGGTGAAGAGAGGGCGTTTGGTTATTTTTCTGCATATATATATTCAATATTTATTGCGTCTGCATTGGGTACTAAAAAGTCACTGAAATTCCCCGAATTTTATCAATTTATCACTTTTCGGCGATCATCAGCAGAGCACGCTTCGCTATGGCACATTTAACCAAAGGTATAATTGAGTTCCGCTGAGCACGAGTTTACTGGGAATATCCACTGTCCGCGCAGAACTTATCAAGAGCGATGGCAATCGCGAGAAATTAATGTCACTTAGCGAACAATAACGATGCTTTCGGCACGTGTTATTTATGGTGGGCTTGTCATGATGACAGTAATTCGATTTCAATTGTGCAAGGCATGGCAAGTAAGGGATTCACAACGCCGGAACTAGTTTGCACTGAGCTCTGTAAACTTCAGCGTTTACGATTGGACGATGAAGAGATTGTAAAGATTTACTGCTCGCATTTTGTGGTGGATGAAGTGAGGAAAAAAAGCCGGGCAATTGCAAGCTCATCAAGTGCATAAGCTCTTAGTGAAATATCCCAGGGAAAGATAACATAGTATCGCACTTCCTTTGCGCGCCGTCCCGCGTGTCTTGAATGGGCTTGCTTTCAGCCGAATCACCGTGCACGTCACTTATCACAGTGATCCATTGGGTGATCGCGTGAAGTTCCCGTGCGGTGATGCGCAGAGAAAGGCCTTTGCCGGCCATAAAACTGGGGAATCGCAGAAAAGCTCCATGTGAATTTTATGCCAGCTGATATATCCCCACCAAAGAGCGTCTAATGCTCGCGTATTGAACCAATAAATTATCGCCGCACAAGTAGGAAAAAAAGCGCTTCCTCTTGTTCATGTTGACAACGACAGAAATGTGACAATTATAGCTCTTTTTTTCGTTTGCACATTCCAATCACAATTGGACAATTGATGATTAAATTCACCGTCGCTAGATTCGGACGTGTGTGCGTCTGTTCGGTGCTCATGAGCTTCAACTACACTGGCAGAGCAATTCGAGCTTTACTGCAAGCACACTCGCTGGCAGAAGATTAGAAACATCTCGCTTGATATATAATTTCAGTGGAATTGTTCAAACAGAATATTTCTTCAAAAAAACATTGCAAATTGTGTTGAAGTCGAGCATAACCTCGAAAAGAGTAGTGTGGACTTGGAAATTGTTTATTTAGATCACTTTCTGCACGATTTTGACGGTGAATCAGCAACTTAGAGTTTAGTGGTAACTCATAAAAATTGGATTTTATCATCTAGAAACTTTCTAATTGAAGTCTTCCAAGATCTCTTAGTGATATTTTTGAGGTTATGTTCAGAAAAGACGCAAAAAAACGGTTTTAAGTAAATTCTCACAGAAATATCGCATGGATCTTAAGATATTTATTATAATTTGCGAATTATTGTAGAAACATTCTAAAAATTTAACAGGAACTCGGAGAAGCCGACGATGATCAATTGTGTTCAAGTTTCTTCAGCACATCGTGAAGAAAAGCAGCTAAATCCATAGAAGACTTCAACAAATCTGAAATTTACACAATTAAGAGTGTCTTCAACCTCCTCCTGGCCACTGTATTGGAGCGTCTGTGGGAAAACTTCAGCGAACTTCACACACAGAAGTGTGAATAAGCTCGTTAATCGCTTTACTACGAGGAGATCCACATGCTACTTATCCCACCACCATCACATGCACACTGCAAACTTACTTATATACAAGCGCCAAGTCAAAGCCTCGCAAGTGTCAGTTGCTGCTCAGCAAGCGTAGTGAGGTGATCGTTAAGCTTTCAGAAGCTTCAGTTTGGCTCTTCTCAGAACAATTCTCATTTAAGCCCGCCAATTTCTGAGACAGTATGAATATCACAAATATTCAATTGTGCAATATTTCACGTGACTATTCATGCACCTAAAATCTTGCGGACGGAAGTTCTGGAGCAACTCAATTCCATCTTAGAAGTAAGTGCTTTTCGCGCTATGATTTTATTATTATTGGGAAATTCTACAATTTAAAAACTCAAAGTGTTAATTGGGATTTTTCTGGGAAAAAAATCTCGCTTCTTTTCGTATTAATGTAAATTTCTTTTGTTT